ACACCATGCTGAGTTTTATGGAGTGCTGGGGTCAAATGAGGCCTTTCACACACTGCATTGTACCAACTGAGCTATATTCACAGCCTCTATCTAAAGATCATAAAGGAAATGTTTTCAGAAAGTTCAGTGAGTGGCTGAAGAAACCTCAAAGGATGAGAAAGAATTGGATTTCTGTTCTAGAGCAGAACAATTAGAAAAGACGATATTCTACTGTGTGTTTAGAGCAGGTATTCTACTCCAAGTTGCTCCCTAGCCACCACACTGCTTGTGTGCAGGTCGAAGCACTTCTCCATTGGTCACTCCTGTCTCCTGTTTTTCACTTGAGTCCTGAGAATTAGATTCAGTGATCTTAAGAGGTTGGTGGGAGAAGTGGACCTGTCTTCAACTTGTCTCTGCTTCACACTCTGCTGTGGGATGGTCTGTATGGCAAATGTGTTGCTCTGATTGGTCAATAAATAAATCACTGATTGGCCATTGGCTAGGCAGGAAGTATAGGCGGGACAAGGAGGAGAATAAAGCTGGGAAGTGGAAGGCTGAGTCAGAGAGACACTGCCAGCCGTCACGATGACAAACAGCATGTGAAGATGCCGGTAAGCCACGAGCCATGTGGCAAGGTATAGATTTATGGAAATGGATTAATTTAAGCTGTAGGAACAGTTAGCAAGAAGCCTGCCACGGCCATACAGTTTGTAACCAATATAAGTCTCTGTGTTTACTTGGTCGGGTTTGAGCGGCTGTGGGACTGGCAGGTGAGAGAGATTTGTCCTGACTGGGCCAGGCAGGAAAACTCTAGCTACAACACTCCGTCACCAAATTCTAAGTGTTTCCCTCAGCACATCGTCCTCTCCACCTAAGTGCAGACCCTAATCCTCCCAGAGCTGGTACCACGGCAGTCACTGTCCCACTAGCTCCTGAGCTCATGTCTATCCTGCTGAACCTTAACTTTGTGTCCAGCAAGTTCATCCACTCCTGGTCTCTTCAGAACATGGTACACTTTTATCCACCTCCATGCCTCTCTTCCTCCTGTCCACACTCACCCATCCTTTGGGAAGCTCCTTGCCAATGCCCTCAGGAGGTGTTCCCTTCAGCCCCATCTCATGACTACACGGCCAAACCCTTATAGAACAACTAAGCAAGTCTTTAACACTGTTTCCTCACAGTCAAGTTCAGTACATATTCATAATTCACTATTGTGTTCTTAAATGATAGTGTAAGCTCTTTGATAACAGGTACTTTAACAAAACTTTCATTATATGTGCATGATATATGGGGAGGGGTGCACCTGTTATAGTCGTTAGAGGCTGAGGACAACTTCATGGGCTAGCTTCTGCTCAGGTCACTAGGCTTGTGCAGCAAGGACCATTATCAGCTGAGCCAGCTCACTGGCCAACAGGTACCTTTCCTTACTGCAGTGTATGGACCCTTCAGCACATCATGGTAGGTGTTTAAATAAAATAAAATAAAATAAAAATAAACCTGATTAATTCTGCAGGTCCATATGTCGAGGGTGAGATATTTGCGATAGATGACTAAAGACCATTATCAAACTAACCAAGAATGCTATTACTGGTCATCTTGGATGATAAGATCAGAATTCAAAACAACCTCAACAAGTTTTAAATAATAAACACATAATCTAGTTCAAAAGAGCACAAAGAAGAAAAACAAGTTCAAAAAAATCAAGTAGAATTGACTGGGTCCAAAGGCACTGGAGTCCAGGGGTTACCAGGTGCAGGTGAACAAAGATCATATATAATCATATGCTGGACTGCACTGGAAGAAAATTGCAAAGTTCTGAGGTAAAATTCTTACTGTTTTTACATAACAGACCTCACAGAAATAATACAGATATAATTTCATTCCCCACAGTTAATATTTAGAGAACTTGGAGTTCCAATGTAGAGAATAACAAGAACTTAGGTCTAAAGAATGGAGGTAATTGAGGGAAAGGAAAACAACTAGAAGAAAGGTACCTGAGTGTAGAAAAGAATCTACCTAGAAAATAAGCATCTATCACCAAGAAATAAGATTATTCTAATTATAATAAAAACTAGGCAGCTGTTCTCTGGCAGAATTACCAAAAGAAGAAACATAAGAATACTTACTGTACTAGAGGGTTGAACTACCTGTCTTCAGAAGGTCCCAACAGCCACACATTCGACGGTTTCCACTATTTCTGAAATCCCTTTCCCACTCACTACTCCCACCCCTACTTGCCAGCTAGAACAGCTCTATCCTCCCTCATGAAGCTACTCCTCACCGCTCCTTTGGAAAGGTCTCAGAGTCTCCTTTGGGTTCATCTGCTCCTGTAGTCCCAGGGCTGGGCTTCTTGCCCTCTCTTTCTTGGACACACCCCTGGGCTGGGGGTCCACTGACTCCTGAAGAACACTTAATAACGCCTGTGATGATTTCGGGGGTGTCATCTTCTCCGAGTGCATTTCCTGCCCCTTTACAGAGACTGTGACCTAGAAATAACCCCTCATTAATTTTCATAGTCATAACAAGGGGCATTCCCAGGGGAGATTATTTAATGTCCCCAAAGAGACCATCCTTTTAAGGCAAGGACAGAGTGGTAGGGGTGGGGAGATTAGGACAAACAAATGTTTATTCCGTTATCATTAGGTTAGAGTGGCTGGAACTACAGAAAGATCAAAATGGAAACCCAAATACCAGCTTGGGGAAAAAAACGAAACAAAACAAAAAACCTTCCCATTTCTTCTCTATTAAGAAACTGAAGTCAGCCGGACGGTGGCGGCGCACGCCTTTAATCCCAGCACTCGGGAGGCAGAGCCAGGCGGATCTCTGTGAGTTCGAGGCCAGCCTGGACTACCAAGTGAGTTCCAGGACAGGCACCAAAACTACACAGAAAAACCCTGTCTCGAAAAACCAAAAAAAAAAAAAAAAAAAAAAAAAGAAAAAGAAAAGAAACTGAAGTCAGCCAGGCGGTGGTGGCGCACGCCTTTAATCCCAGCACTTGGGAGGCAGAGGTAGGAAGGATCTCTGTGAGTTCGAGGCCAGCCTGGTCTACAGAGAGTTCTAGGACAGCCAGGGCTATACAAAGAAACCCTGTCTCAAACAAACAAAACAACAACAAAGAGAAATTGAAATGAGAGACGTACTGTAATAAGAGTAGGCAGAGGTACACCCAATTGGCATCTCCAGACAAGCTCTCCTGAAATATAACCCTTCCAGAAGGGAAGTGTAAAAGTCACCAAACCTCTTTCTGCCTGGCTGATCTTAAACTGCCCCTCCCCAGCCTCACACTTCGGAATTCCCCCTCCTTCTCACCGAATGTCCAGGTCGCCCAGGCTCTCTTTCTAAGTCTTCCACCAAAGTCACTGCCTCCTCTCCATTTTCTGGACATTGCTTTTGTACCCAGTTCTGGATCTCCCCAGGCAGCACCGTCAGGAACTGCTCTAGCACCAACAATTCCACAATCTGCTCCTTGGTGCGCACCTCCGGCCTTAACCACCGACAGCAAAGTTCCCATAGTTGGCTGAAAGCCTCCCGTGGTCCAGCCACCTCCTGGTAATGGAATCTCCTGAAGCGTTGTCGTAGGCATTCAGAGTTGGTGCCATTTCCCCTCAGAGTGGGTTTGGCCATCCTTCACAGCAGAAAGTAGTTTCCCAGTCGGGCGTGGTGGCGCACGCCTTTAATCCCAGCACTCAGGAGGCAAAGGCAGGAGAGTCTCTGAGGCCAGCCTGATCTGCAAAGCAAGTTCCAGGACAGCCAGGGCTACATAGAGAAACCCTGTCTCGAAAAACAAAACAAAAAAGCAGTTTCTCTTCTCTTAGTATCTGAGTTCCGGTCTTAGGCTTAGTTCACTCTCTCCCCATGCCCAGGAGAAACACCTGCAGATGAGTGTCTCTGTGTAAAAAGGAGTTTCTTCCTAGAGTAACGGCAATATCACAGGAATATCTTCACATGTTTCAAGTCTTGCCAGAGCCGGCCAGACTTTCCATATCCTCCAAGTGGTCTTCAGAGGTAGTGCCATTTCAGGACAGCAAATCAACGAGGAAGGAGAAAATGACCTTTCAAAAGCTGCATTTCTGGGTGGCGACTACAGCACTCCCGGGAAGTTGCAGAGAACAGAAAATCCCGTCTGCTTCGTTCTCACTTCATCTAAATCTGATCGCGTCTAGCGCCCTAGATCAAAGCTGGAGAGTGAACTCGAGCCGCATGGGACTCGGGACGCACTGTAAAGGTAAGTCAACATTCGGCTGAAGACAAAAGCCTCTGTCCAGCGGGTGGCGGCTAATCTTCCCGGAACCTCCGCGGCCCTCCGGAAAGCGCCCGCTGTCCGCCCCGCCCCGCCCCGCCCCGCCCCGCGAACGCCAAACCACGAATTTCCAGCCCGAACCCAAGTCAAGTGCTGAATGTTGGGTCTCTTGTTCACTCCTCCCAGACGAAGGAAGAGCTCAGCCAGAGTTCGGGAGCGACAGCTGGGAAAGCTGACTTGGGCTTCTACACTGAAGTGGGCTTGGGGGAGAGCCACGGGAGTTGGCGAAGCGAGGCAGCCCGAGAGGAGGCAGTAGTGCCTCTCCTGAGAACGAAGCCTGCCGGCCAGGGCTGCGAGCTCGTGGGCTGCGAGCGCTGCTCCACGGCGGCGGCTGCCAAGTTCCGGCCTCTTTGTCTTCTCCCGCTCCGGCCGGGACACTCTGGGAGACGCCGGGCAGTCGGTCAAAATGCCACAGACCCTGCCAAGGCGTCCCGAGGACTCCCTCCGGCCCACCCCTGCCTGGCCGCGTCTCTCTCAAGCTGCCTGTCAACTCATCCCTGTCCCTGGGCCAGCCTCAACCACTCCGGTCCGGCTAAGACCAGTCTCGCTCGCCAGCAGCCCCCGTCCGGCTCTCAAGCCGGAAGTCCGAGCGGGCCACTCAGGGCACCCAAGGCGCATGCGCGATGGCACCTCCGGCGCCTCCTCGGCGCGCCGTGGCGGGAGCGAGCGGGTGGGCGCCTCCGAGCCGCGCGCACTTCCGGCACGCGGCGCGCGGCCCCGTGACGGCTCCCCGCGCCGTGGTCTGCGGGGTTTCTGGACGAGCGTCTCGGTTGGGTGTGAGTGGGCGCCCGCAGAGGCGCCGAAAGAGAAGGTGGGGAATCTCGGGACTCCCAGGCCGCCCCAGAAATGATTCACGAGCTGCTCTTGGCGCTGAGTGGGTACCCAGGGTCCATTTTCACCTGGAACAAGCGGAGTGGCCTGCAGGTACCGAGGGGGGGTCAGAGGCTGGGACGCTGGTGCAGCTGAGCCGCAGCGGAGGGGCGGGACCCGGGGGGGGGGGACCCCGGCTGACTGCGCCCGCGAGCCGTGGCAAACCGGGGGCCGGGCCGACATAGCTCTGCCTTCGGCGGCGGGGAACCCTGCTCTGCGGTCCCCGATTCCTGGCTAGGGAACCACTAGAGTGGATAGAACTCAATCCTTCTCTTTACTGCATACAAATTTACTGTTAAACTGAATTCCTAAGTGTGTATCTGGAATTAGGTGATAGTTTATTAAAAAGGGAGTAGGGTACCCCGGTATATTCACGCTTGCATTGTTTCCAGCAGAGTTTTGAAAATAGTGCAAATATATCCACAGAGTTCACGACACTATAAACACTCAGTAAATTGTGTTGGATGAAAAAATGGGTTTGTAACCATATGGCGTTTCCCTCCTTTGGAAATTTCTGTACCAGGTGAAGAACTTGAAAGAGCTTTTACACTTAGAAAGCGTAAAAGGAGTGTGTTGGTTAGTTCGTTCTTTCTCTTCTCTCTTCCTTCTCTCTTTTCTCTTCCTTCCTTTCCAACTTGACACAAGCTAGAGTTATCTGAGAAGAGGGGAACTGAATTGAAAAAATGCCCCTCATGTTGGCCCGTGGGCAGGCCTGTGCTGCATTTTCTTGATTCATGATGGTTGTAGAAGGGCCCAGTGCACTGGGGGCTGTGGGAGTCCCTCAGCAGGTGGTGTCGGGATGTATAAGAAAGCCGGCTGTACCTGCCAGGTGGAGCAAGCCAGTAAACAGCATTCCTGCATGGTCTCTGCTTCAGTCTCTGCTCCGATTTCCCTTTGAGAAGGACTGTAAGCTGAAATGATAAACACTTTTCTCTTTTGTCACAGCAATAGAAATCTAACTAGGACAGAGTGACTGTGAATATTAGTGCAGTGTGCATTATTTCATCGAATCGTCACAACAATCTAGTTCAGAAAGTTAATTCCCGGGGTCACATAGCTATTAATATAGTTTAGTCTTGAACAGAGGTCTTTCTGGCTCCACTATCAGAACTGTTAGCATAGTCTGCTTCCAATAGTGATGCCTGGTGCTCTCAATAACCTAGTAACTTGCTTGTCGCAGCTTCTGAATGCACAGAACTGAAGTTTGGAGAACTTTATACTGACTAGTTGTGGCAGTCCTAGGAAATAAGATCTGCTCACAGTGTGGTGTCTGTTTATAGCAGGACTGGCCTTGGAGGATCAGGAAGGACCTTTCTTCATCCATAAAACATATAAATTGAACAGATTTTTCTTATTCCTTATGGATGTGAATTTGGGATTTAGAAGTGTGAGCTTTTAAAATTTTGTATGTATATCTTTGAAAACTGACACATGGCCAGTCGTGGAGGGGGGAAATGTTCAGAATTTGTAGGTGCTTGACTGACATTTGAAATAAAAGCAAGTGACACCCAGGGTGTGGCAAAGATAGCTGGGAAGGCCGCAGGGAGAGCCACAGGTAGTTCATCTTCCCCTTGGTTATAAAAGGTTTGAAGCAGACTTTTTCATCTTTGCATTCCCGAGGCCTCAGCTCTAAAGTGATTTCTTTGAAGAGTTTTGTGTTCACGCCTTTCAGTACTCTTCTCTTGTGCCTTTATTTGTTATCACAGCAGTTTGTTTCCTTTCTCAGACTTTGCACAATGAGTTCACCGCTTGTTGTTACTGTCACACTGCTGCTTCTGCAGAGATTTTTCACTTACCCAGAAGAGAGCGCTTCGCAGTGTCTGCAACATAGTAGATGTTCATATATTTGTGGAAAAAGACAAAAACAGCAAATACTATATGCTTTCCAGAGGACAGTATTCTCACATTTGATTAAAAAGAACTGTTGGGACTACCCAAGGTTTAAGAAAGTCATTTAACTGTTATATTGACTATATGCCTGCATGGAGCTAGATATAAACATGAGGATATTGGGTTTTGTTTTTGTTTTTGTTTGTTTGTTTGTTTTTTGAGACAGGGTTTCTCTGTGTAGCTTTGCGCCTTTCCTGGAACTCGCTTTGTAGACCAGGCTAGCCTCGAACTCACAGAGATCCGCCTGCCTCTGCCTCCCTGAGTGCTGGAATTAAAGGCGTGTGCCACCACCACCCAGCGAGGATATTGTTTTTACACAGCTGTAAAAACCAACATACAGCTCAATGCTCAAGCATTCCTGGAATATACATGAGGCCTTGGGTTTGACCTTCAGCCCCAGAAAATAACAAAATAAATGTAAACAAAACTACCATGTCAATAGATTCAAATAAACATTTTAATGCAGGTTTGTTTTTAAATTTAATGATTGTGGATATTTTATCTGCATGTATGTCTGTGTACCACATGCATGTCTGGTGCCTGTGGAGGCCAGAAGAGGGCATTGGATCTCCAAGAACTGGAGTTACAGAGGGTTGTATACCACCATGTGGGTGCTGGCAGTCAAACCAGGGTCCTCTGGAAGAGCAGCACATGCTTTAAATGCTGAGCCATCTTTCCTGCCCCATACTGCAGGATTTTTCATCTTTTTGTACTGTACACAATTTAAATGAGATATTCTTTGTTGTGTGTGTAGGGTGAGTATGTAAGGCATAATGTTAAATAGCATTTGTAGTGTCTCCTCCTAGATTACAGTATCACCCCTTCAATTGTGGCAAGCAAAAGTAGTTTTAGACATTGCCAAATACCCTCTGGAAATAAAATTGCGCCCTGATTGAGAAACCCAGATGTAACATGATAGTGTTTTGTTGAAACTAAATTAACAACATTGAGTTTAATAGAGGAATTCAGAGCCAGGCATGATGACTTCTGCCTATAATCCCAGCCTTTGAGAAGCTGAGGCAGGATGATTGCTTTGCTGTGATTTAAGGCCAGCCTGGGCTGCAGTGTGTGACATTTCATATTCTCTCTTAGAGAGAGAAAAGGGGGGGGGAGGGAGACAGAGGGCAGAGAAGAGCAGAAGAGAAAAAAAAGACCTTACAAATTTGGCTCTGTGTTACATTAAGTGGTATCAGTAACTTCAAATTTCAGGGTATTTAAACGTAAACTGGAATTTTCTTTTTTAAAGATTTATTTATTTATTATGTATACAGTGTTATGCCTACATGTATGCCTGCACTCCAGAAGAGGGCACCAGATCCCATTATAGATGGTTGTGAGCCAACATGTGGTTGCTGGGAATTGAACTCATGAGCTCTAGAAGAGCTTTGAGCCATCTCTCCAGCCCTGGAATTTTTTTTTCAAACTAGTGTATGTATGTATGATATGTGAGCATGAGCATACATGTCACAGAGTCTATGTAGAGGTCAACTCTGTAGAGTCAGTTCTTTCCTTCTACCTTTATGTGGGTTGCAGGCATTGAACTCAGGTCTTCAGGTTTGTATAGCAAATGCCTGACCCTCTGAGCAATGTCACTGGCCCTAAACCTAGAACTTTTCTAAAACTCTGCCAGCAAGAAGTATTCAGAGATACCACCTGATAACTATGTAGAAATGTCTTGTTAGTAGTAAAAGGCGCATATATGTATTAAGTACTTGCTGTGTGATTAACACATGTGCTTTGTATGATCTAATTATCACAGTTATCTCCACTTTTTACATATAAAAACTAAGACATTGCCTAAGCTTTCAAGCAAGATATAATTTGAGAATACAAGCCAAGGGAGTCTCTGTCTCTTCTCTCTCTCTCTTTCTCTCTCTCTCTCTCTCTCTCTCTCTCTCTCTCTCTCTCTCTCTCTCTCTCTGTGTGTGTGTGTGTGTGTGTGTGTGTGTGTGTGTGTGTGTGTGTGTGTACGTATCCCTGTGTGTACGTAGGTCAGAGGACAACTTGCAGGAATATCCTTCTGTGTGAATCATGGAACTCAAACTCAGGCTGTCAGGTGGCAAGCACCTTTACACATTGAGCCATTTTCCAGCCCTTATCATGTGAATTCTTTACTATAGGTTACCTGTTTTAAGAACAAGCAGTTACATCTGGATAAGGAACACAACCTCATAGTGGTGTAACCATATCGTTACCAGAATTACCAGCCTGGTAACAAGGGAAGTTAAAGCTAAGTACAACCATGACAATGTAAGGAAAGGAAATGGAAGAAAGAATGTAAAGCATTTAAGCCCCAGAGAACCTGGGCTGGTGACTAGCAGGCATCAGCTTCCTTTATGACTGTCCCTCTTCTTCCAGGTTTCCCAGGATTTCCCGTTTCTTCACCCCAGTGAGACTAGTGTCCTGAATCGACTCTGCAGGCTTGGCACAGACTACATTCGATTCACTGAGTTCATTGAGCAGTACACAGGCCATGTGCAGCAACAGGTGGGATGCCGTTCTCTGGCTATGTGCTTCTACAGGGCACAAGTATTCTCGGCTCTCAGTGAATTCACTCATAAAGTAAGTTAGGAATTTCTGGAATACTCTTGAATTTATGAGTCACTGGAAATGCTCAAGGGAAGGCGAGATCTCTCTGCTTTTTCATGGGTAAGAAAACAAAAATTCTGTCCTCTATTCATGTGTTTACATGACATGAGAATTCCCACTCCTCAAGTTCTAAAGGAAGTCCTAAAAGTACCTTTTTAAAAAAGTAAAATAACAGCAAACCAAAGCCCTTTCTTTTAATTTTGTGATAGATGAAGACTCATTCCAGTTTTCTGTAATGCTGTAAGATCAGAACAAAATTGGCTAGTTGTAAAGCAGTCTGTCCATGTCCATGCTATGAACATCCCTCTTGAGGAACTTCAGGATCCTTCTGGTATTCTGTGTAGCATCTTCTGACTGGCTACACTGTGATTTCTAACTCCTGAACCCAAGCTTCCTTAGCATATCCGATGCTGAATTCTGTACTCCTGCCTACCACTCTTAGTCTGCTTACCCAGATCCCTGCCTAGCCAGAGGGGTTAAGCATCCACCATAGCCTCCAGCTAACTGTTAACCATTAATTCCTCATATAAAACTATATGAGGAGTTTTATATGAAACTGACCAGATTCACTAGGCCCCTCCCTCCAAAGAATAAATAATAAAGACTGAGAGTCACTTTCAGACAAGCCCAGCTGCCTGGAAAGCAGCAGGGACCAGCCAAGCAACTTGAAGAGTTCCTGAAAGACAAGTCATATTTTACATAATCCCTCAGTAAGAGTCTCACAACCCCCAGATTGGCACTCAGACTCACTGTTTACTTTGGTTTTGTTGTTGTTGTTATTGTTGGGGTTTTTGTTTGTTTGTTTGATTTTAAAGATTTACTTTTAGCCAGTGGTGGTGGCACATGCCTTTAATCCCAGCACTTGGGAGGCAGAGGCAGGTGGATCTCTGAGTTCCAGGCCAGCCTGGTCCAGAGCAAGTTTCAGAACAGCCAGGGCTACACAGAGAAATCCTGTCTCAAAAAAAGAAAGATTTATTTCATGTGTATGAGTTCTGCTTGCTGCACATATGTGCACCATGTGTGTGCCTTGTACCTGCCCAGGCCAGGAGGTATTGGATAACCTGGGAATAGGAATTAGAGGTGGTTATGAGCTACCATGGGAGAAAGCATCTTAAGACAGAAATTCAACAACTCAGGATAGCTTCAGGAAGTCCCTGAAACCAAACTTACTAGGCCCCTTCCTCCAAAGCAGCCAGAAAGAAGCAGAAAACATATGGGCTGCCTAGAAGAGGTTAGGACCAACTGAGCTACCTGGACAGGACACTCCAACCTATTGAGCTGCCTGGACACTGTGTATTGTGCTCCAGGTTCTCAGCTTTCTGTCACCCATGGTAGTGTGGGGTTTAGTGATGCAGCTGTCTTTGACATTTCTGCTCCTATAAGTAATCTCTCACTCATATTTCTGTAAATAACCCCATGAAACTGAGTGGTTCACCAAATCAGACTTCGTTGGTATCTGTACTTTGGTCTGTCATGGGCTCCCTATCGTGGGTGAATAGACAGGAGTGTGTGTGTGTGTGTGTGTGTGTGTGTGTGTGTGTGTGTGTGTGTGTATCTGTGTGTTGCATCTCCTCAGGAAAAGTCTTGTCACAACAGATGCTGGGAACCTACAGTAAAAACCTTTCCCTTAACAATACAATGGACCGAGCGGTGGTGGCATACACCTTTAATCCCAGCACTTGGGAGGCAGAGCCAGGTGGATCTTTGTGAGTTCAGGCCAGCCTGGACTACAGAGTGAGTTGCAGGACAGCCAGGACTGTTTCACAGAGAAACCCTGTCTCAGAAAAAAAACAAAACAAAACAAAAACAATACAATGGAACGGTCATGTCAGCATTTCTTACTGCACCCTCCTCGAATACATGTTATCTTCAGTTCTTTTTTCATTTCCTCTTGCTGAAACAATGCTTTGCTACAGAATTATTTAAGTACTACTAATAAATGACAGTGTCTTCCTCAGGTTCGGGTTCTGAGCTGAGAAGTTGACTTCTCTTTGCTTGTTTGCAGGATCACCATCCACCCCAGCAGGGCCAAGGTGGGCTACATGGGATCTACCTGAGGGCCTTCTGCACAGGGCTGGATTCAGTTTTACAGCCTTATCGCCAAGCACTGCTTGACCTGGAACAAGAGGTGAGAAGGAGGTAATATAGAAAATTATCTCTGGGGGATTGCAGAGTAGAGCATGTTCTTGCTTCTGAAGTTGCCTTTGATAAGGTCAGGTAGTTAAGAGTGAACTATATGCCTGAAGGGTGCAGTATTCAAAGTGGCTCCAGAGTGGATTTGTAAGAGCCCTGGTTTGGGTTTATTATCTAAAAAGTAAATCTATAATCTATTAGTTCTGCAGAGCTTAAAATGAACACTGAGCTCATTGTCACACTGTCTCCTAATTTATATAGAGCAAATTAATTCAAGTTATTTTGTGTGGAATTCTGATGACTATGTTTTTATTACAGTTCCTGGCTGACCCACATCTCTCCATATCACATGTCAATTACTCCTTAGATCAGGTAAGCATTGGATTGCTAAAATGCTTTGGAGTCTGTTGCTGTTCTAATTTGTGGCACTATAAATATATTTTACATGATTTATTGCTAGATGAGAACTGCTTTAAGAGTGTGGTATATGTGGCATCTGCCTGTCATCCCAGTGCTCAGGAGGAAGGGGCTAGCCTGGTGTATAAGCTTTCTTTAGTGAGTTCTGGACCAGCTAAAAAAAAAAAACAAACAAAAAAATAGTTCCACATTTAATTAGTTCTTAATGTAATGTGAATATTCTCCCTTTGACATGCATATTGGCAGTGACACCAGACTCAAAAGTAGAAATTGCTTCTGTTCCTATCTGCAGCCAGTCCTGATGTCAGGTTGCCTTAGGGTACTGGACCTTGATATTGCCGTTTTATCTTGGAAACAGAAGTGTTTCTTGAGTTAATCTTTTTTTTTTTTCATCCTGTATTTGATTCATACATACCCTTAATTTTCTCTACTTTGCAGTTCCAGCTCCTTTTTCCCTCTGTGGTGGTTGTAGTGGAGCAAATTAAAGGCCAAAAGGTGAGAACTTTCTATTCTGGTAAGCATCAAAAAAAACCTAATAATGCTGTTTTATAGTCTTTATCTGGAAGATACTTGCTTTTAATAGTTTTTATTTATTCATTCAGCATTATCCCTTTGCTTATCATAGAAAATGTCAGAATGCAAAAATAAGACAATATTCTTTCTTTAAACACCTTGTGATTAAGAAAGCAGAGTAGTTAGGCAGTGGTGGCTCACGCCTTTAATCCCAGCACTCGGGAGGCAGAGCCAGGCGGATCTCTGTGAGTTCGAGGCCAGCCTGGTCTACAAAGCGAGTTCCAGGAAAGGTACAAAGCTACACAGAGAAACCCTGTCTCGAAAAACAAAAAAAAAAAAGGAAGCAGAGTAGCCAGGTGATGGTTGGTGACACACGCCTTAATCCCAGCACTTGGGCCGCAAAGGCAGGTAGATCTCTGAGTTTGAGACCAGCCTGGTCTACATAGTGTGTTCCAGGATAGAACAAAGAGAAACTTTCTTAAAAAACAACAACAAAAAAGTCGACTAAGTGGGTCTACCTAAGAATGTTGCTGAGGTCAGAGAAAAGGGTGTTTGGAGGTGAGAGCTGGCTGCACTAAGGGTTTGGAACCACTGGCTTTGGATATAGACAGGAAGCTTATTTCTTAAAAAAGAAAGAAGGTTTCCTGAGAGTTAAGAATTACTGAATGTAAGATATTGGGGTGAAAACCGAGAGATCAGATGAATAGGACAAGCCACAGCCAACCTCACCTTATCGGCTCCTCAGCCTCCAAAGAGACCTACTTTCTGTATACCCATGTCTATATGCCTTTCTGTCCCCTGCCATCTCTCTCTGCCCAGCTCTATCATATCCTGTCTATCTGTATAGACTTCCAGACCTTTATGGTTAACTAGTGTTGGAATTAAAGGCGTGTGCCACGATGCCTGGCTCTGTTCCCAGTGTGGACTTGAACTCACAGAGATCCAGATGGATCTTTGCCTCTCCAATGCTAGGATTAAGGTGTGTGCTACCATTGTCTGACTTCTGTTTACTGTAGTGGCTGGCTTTTTCCTCTGATCCTCAGATAAGCGTTATTGGGGTACACAGATAAAATATCACTACAACTGGGCAAAACCCAGCTTGTTGTATTCATTTCATCACACATTGAACAGTTAAAGAGTCCCCCATGTCAGAAGATTGTCTTTTCTATGAAGAAAAAATGCTTAGAGATTCTACACTATAGAAATTATTTTCTTCTGTTTACCCATTATTGGACTAAGTAGACAAATGAATTAAGCATGCTCAGCTCAGTTTTCCATGGTTTTTGGCTGTTGTATCTGTGCCTTAGGTTATTTGGTGAGTGTAGTTAGCCAGTTGACTTACCTTGTAGTTGCCTTACTTTTTCAATGAGTACAGAAAATTAAAGCTCTGCTACATTGATTCTCTGCTGCCAAAGCCAGTAGGAAAGTGCTTCAGAGCTGACTGTCCCCGTTAAAGCACAGTATTTATTGCTTTGTACCATGCACTGTGCTGTAAGTGGACATTTCCTGTCCTGACCACCCAGTCCCAAATAACTGACTCAGAGGCTGACTGTGAATTATAAATGCTCGGCCAATAGCTCAGGCTTGTTACTAGCTAACTCTTACATTTAAATTAACTCATTTTTATTAATCTATATATTGCCACGTGGCTCGTGTCTTTACCTGTCCTCTAGCATGTCTTGCTTCCTGGGTGGCTGTCTGGCATCTCTCCTGACTCCACCCTCTTCCTTCCCATCATTCTGAGTTTGGCTTTCCCGATAACTTCCTGCCCAGCTACCAGCCTGTCAGCTTTTTATTAATTAATGAGAGTAATACATATTCACAGTGTAGAAAAGGATTGTTCTACAGCACTGTGCTAAGGGTTTTACATATGTGATTACATATGCTCAGGGTCACAGAGAGCAAGTTAAATGACAGAGTCTGTGTCACTCAGAGACCATGCCCTTAACTGCTATATTAAGTTCACAGAGTGGGAGGGAACCTTCTACATGAATGGAGTTAGTAAGGAAGTCACAGAATTCCATGTCTAGCTGCACATTTCAGTTGATTTTTCAGCTTCCATTGAAAGCTACAGGAAGAATAGGAAACATGTAGAGGGACTTAGATGAGTGCACTTGCGTATCTGGCCAGGCAGAGATAGAGGAACTAGTGTGCTAGTGCTCCACAGCGAAAAACTAAGTGGTCAAGAGCATGGGCTGAGGGGAGAATTGCAAACAGGCTCACCTAAGGGGGTTGGTTTTTTGTTTTGGTTTATTGAGACAGGGTTTCTCTGTGTAGTCCTAGTCATCCTGGAACTGGCTCTGTAGACCAGGCTGACCTCAAACTCAGATCTACCTGTCTCTGCCTCCTGAGTGCTGGGATTAAAGGCATGTGCCACCACCACCCAGTTTGGGGATTGTTTTAGAATGGAATATTGTAAAACTGTATTATAGTGATGGTTGTATAATATTGTGAATTTACTAAAAGCACTTAAATAATACACTTAAGATACACATGTAAATTTAGGGCATACAAACTATACCTCAAAGTGATTTGTAAGAAAAGCCTGGAGTGCACAGCTATAAGACTACTTACTATAAGTAGTCTGACTTAAGCCTTATCATGAAAGAAAGACTTTTCCTTGGTTTTGAAATGCCAACTCCCCATGACTGGTTTCTTCAGTAAATTGGTTCTCAAACCAGTATATATATTAGAGTCACCTGGAGTGCTTGTTAATCCGTAGGTCCATAGTTATCTGGCCTTTACCCTCCAAAATTTGCATTTCTGTCACCTTTACAGGTGTCCTGGTTATTTGTTTGTTTGTTTATTTATTTATTTTTACCTGTTTGACATAGCTAGAGTCATTTGGGAAAAGGAACCTTAATTAAGAAAACACCTCCATCAGATCACCTGTAGGTAAATCTATAGTGCATTTTCTTGGGTATTGATTGATACAGGAGAACCCAGCTCACTGCAGGTAGTGCCAACCTGGGCAGGTAGTCCTGTATGATAAAGCAGGCCAAGCAAGCCGTGAGGGGCAGGCAGTAAGCAACATTCCTCCATGGCCTGTGCTTCAATTCCTGCCTTGAGTTCCTGCCCCTACTTGCCTTCATGATGGCCTATAAACTGTAAGCTGAAATAAAACCTTTCCCCAACAAATTGCTTTTCATCATGGTGTTTTATTACAGCATTAGAAACTAAGGACCTGGAGAGGTGGCTCAGAGGTTAAGAGCACTGGCCGTTCTTCCAGAGGTCCTGAGTTCAATTCCCAGCAACCACATGATGGCTCACAACCATCTATAATGAGATCATATGTCTTGTGACATGCAGGCATACATGCAGACAGAACACTGCATACATAATAAATAAATAAATAAATAAATAGATAGATAGATAGATGGATAAATACATAAATAAATAAATAAGTACACGCAGACAGAACACTGCACACATAATAAATAAATAAATAAATAAGTAAGTAAGTAAGTAAGTGAGTGAGTAAGTAAGTAAGTAAATATTAAAAACCACCAGCACCACCACCACCAAAACCTAACTAAGTCAACAGGTAACACTGATGATGCTGAGGGAAGGGGAGTCTATGTTTGTGCATGATTATATAGAAATCTTGTGAGAGACCATAAGTCTATGTTTGTGCATGATTATATAGAAATCTTGTGAGAGACCATATCAGCCTTCTCTACTGGACTGTGCTTTCTTGGTTGCTGTAGAATTTAAGTTTATGTAACCTCGAGTGACACGACTGTATTTTCCACAGATTCATGGCTGTCAGATCCTGGAAACAGTTTACAAACATAGCTGTGGGGGTTTGCCTCCGGTTCGAAGTGCACTGGAAAAGTAAGTCATGGCTTCCCCAAGTATTGGGGTAGAGGCAGGCGTCGAGTGATTTGACTTGTCATGTTTATTTTCAGGTCATATCTGGTTTCCCTCTGGGAAAATTTTAACTAGGATAGAAAAGCCCCAGGGCTGGGGAGATAGCTCAGTAAGTAAACTCTTTGCCATGCAAGTAAGAAGACTTAAATGGATCCCTAGCACCCATTTAAAAAGCCAGATGTGATGGCTTGCATCTGTAATCCCAGCACTGGGGGCATAGGAATAGGATCCCTGGGAGCTTGCTGGCCTGCCAGCCTAGCTGAATTAGCATGCTCCAAGTAGAGTGAAAGATGATGTTTCAAAAAATAAGGTGGAGAGTTACTGAGGGAGATTCCCAACGTCAACCTCTGGCCTCCACATACACACACACACACACACACACACACACACACACACACACACACACACACACAAACACGCATACCCCATATATAGACACAAAGAAGCCCTAGAAGTCACCAGACATGGTGGTATATGCCTGTAAGCCTAATACTTGGAAGGTAGAAACAGGAAGATTAGGAGTTCAAGATCATTCACAGATATGTGGAAAGTTTAAAGAGGCCTGGGTTGAAAGCTAAGAAGGTAAAAGAGAGGAGGGGAAGGGAGGAGAGAGGAAGGAAATGGGAGGGGCAAGTAAAGTGGTGGTGTGGAGAAGAATAGCCAGTATTTTTCATATCACCGTCCTTAAAATATTTATACTTATATATATTTTATATCCTGTAATGCCACATACTTAGAAATTTTATCATAACAAAAGTACTTATTATTTGTGTGTCATGTAGTCTCTGCATTTATATACATGTGTGTACAGGTACATGTGCTCTAAGAGGCTATTAGAGAATATCTAGTGTCCTGCTCTGTCACCGTTCAATTTATTCCTTTAAAACAGGGTCCCGTTCAATTTATTCCTTTAAAGCAGGGTCTCAGCCGGGTGTGGTGGCGCACGCCTTTAATCCCAGCACTTGGGAGGCAGAGGCAGGCGGATCTCTGTGAGTTCAAGGCCAGCCTGGTCTCCAAAGTGAGTTCCAGGAAAGGCGCAAAGCTACACAGAGAAACCCTGTCTCGAAAAACCAAAAAAAAAAAAAAAAACAGGGTCTCTCACTAAGCCTGGCTAACCAATGGACTCCCAGGATCTGCCTGTCTCTGTTCCCCAATGTTGGGGTATAGTCATGCACAGCCATGCACAGCTTTTACATAGGTGTAGGGAATAAAATCTCAAGACTTATGCTTGCCTTGTAAGTGCTCTTACCCACTGAGCCATTTCACCAGCCCAGTAGGAAAATTATATAAAAGAAGAAAAGAATTATTCACCAGCATACTCACTACTGTGTCGTCTATCAGGAAATTAAAAATTTTCAGGAGTATAAGGAAAACTAGGGCTGTTGAGATAGCTCAGCTGATAAAGGTGTTGACTGCCAAAGTTGACAACCTACATCTCTCCCTGGAACTCATGGTAGAGGAAGAGAACAACTGCAAATTGTGCTCTGACCTCCACAGAGGTACAAGGGAAAGGCATGCCAACACACATGTACACAAACACACAAGTAAATAAAGTAATTTAAAATTTTTAAGCTAAATATCCACTCAGAAGACTATATAGCCATTAAATTTATAAATGCCACAATATATAAAATATTTTCTAATGATGAAATGTGATATAAAATTGTATGTCTTATGATTATCACTATATAAAAATAGAGAAAGAGGGGTTCAGCATATGTAACTCAGTAGTAGAATACTTGTCTATCAAGGGCCCTGGGTTCCATTGTCATCCATTCAAGAAAAGGTAGAGTGAGCAAAGGCTGCCCATATGTTCTTATTTCATTTTCCTCATAGTTAAAAAAAAGTATAGCATTGTGGTGGTTCGCAAGAAAATGGCCCTCAAAGGGAGTGGCACTATTAGGAGGTGTGGTCTTGTTGGAGGAAGTGTGTCACTGTGGAAGTGGGCTCTGAGGTCTTATATATGCTCAAGCCTTGCCCAGTATCTCAGTTCACTTCCTGTTGCCTGCAAAATGTAGGACTTTGGACTATTTCTCCAGCACCATGTCTGTGTGCATGCTGCCATGTCCCATCATGATGATAATGGACTGAACCTCTGAACTGTAAGCCACCCCATTAAATGTTTTACTTATAAGAGTTGCCATGGTCATGGCGTCTCTTCACAATAGAAACCCTTACTAGGACAAGCACTCATGACAAAATTGTGGTAGATGGACTCTGAGGCCTTTCACACTCCCTTTCCTTTCTTCTTTATGTAGGCACCACCTTGACTTTTCCATGTTTCAGTGAGTTGTATAGGAGTCTTCAGTAATGGAGCTTTGCTGTTAGTTTGTAGTGAGCAACCTATAGTCTTGGCAACAACCTGGGTTGTTTAAGGATTCCCATAGCACCCTTTTGGCCAACGACTCAATTAAATGTAAGCCAGTCCCCGTACTGAAAGCTTCATTTGGTGACAAGAGATGTCTCCCCCAATATTTAGCAGTTTCATTTAGGTCGCCTTCATATATGTATATGTTTTAGGAAACTTGTACTGGGTTAGGTTTCTACACTCTCCCTCAGATGGCCCTTATTTTAGCCGTCTCTGCCCATGTGCCCTCCCTTGTCCCCCTCTTGTCTCCACCTCCCTACTTGGTCCTCCCATGCCAGGCCTCCCCATCCGTCCATCACTATCCTGTTTCGCTTTCCTAACAAGATCTAGTTTTGATTTGCATTTACCTGATGGCTAAGGATGTTGAACATTTCTTTAGGTGTTTCTCGGTCATTTGAGTTTCCACTTTTGAGGATTCTCTGTTTAGATCTGTACCCATTTTTTTAAATTGGTGTACTGGCTAGTTTTATATCAACTTGACACAAGCTAGAGCCATCAAAGAGGAGGGAGCCTCAATTGAGAAACTGATCTGCTATAGGCAAGCCTGTGATGCATTGTTTTTGATTAGTGGTTGATGGAGGATTGTGGGGCGTTTACCCAACCACCCCCACAGTTCCCCAGAGTTTTCTTGAGTGCGAGCAGCAGGAAATATTAGATAGAAGGATTTATTGCGGAGATAAACAGATAGAAAATAAAGGATAGCCTCGAGAGGGCCTGGAACCTATTCCAACGGGCCCCGAACTGTCTCTGCCCCAGGCAGGATTTTTATAGAGATGCCAGGGGGTGGAGCAAAAGACCTCCTCCCCCAGCACAGCCAAGTGCAGACCATCTCAGACACCTGCACTTAGGCCCGTGGTCTAATCATCCTCTCTATGCGGACCTGCTGGGTAAAGCCACGAGGAACCCGAGAACGGGCTCCCACAGAGGATGACCCAGGCCATTGTAGGTGGTGCCATCCCTCGGCTGGTGGTCTAGGGTTCTATAAGAAAGCAGGCTGAGAGAGAGAGAGAGAGAGAGAGAGAGAGAGAGAGAGAGAGAGAGAGAGAGAGAATGAGAGAGAGAGAGAGAGAGAGAATGAGAGAGAATGAGAGAGAGAGAGAGAATGAGAGAGAGAGAGAATGAGAGAGAGAGAGAGAGAATGAGAGAGAGAGAGAGAATGAGAGAGAGAGAGAATGAGAGAGAGAGAATGAGAGAGAGAGAATGAGAGAGAGAGAGAGAATGAGAGAGAGAGAGAGAATGAGAGAGAGAGAGAGAGAGAGAGAATGAGAGAGAATGAGAGAGAGAGAGAGAATGAGAGAGAGAGAGAATGAGAGAGAGAGAATGAGAGAGAATGAGAGAGAGAGAGAATGAGAATGAGAGAGAGAGAGAATGAGAGAGAATGTGAGAGAGAGAATGAGAGAGAGAGAGAGAATGAGAGAGAGAATGAGAGAATGAGAGAGAGAGAGAGAATGAGAGAGAGAGAATGAGAGAGAGAGAGAATGAGAGAGAGAGAGAGAGAGAGAATGAGAGAGAATGAGAGAGAGAGAGAGAGAGAGAGAGAGAATGAGAGAGAATGAATAAAGAATAAAAGCTGCAGTGGTAGTGCACACCTTTAATTCCAAAGAGACAGGCAGATCTTTGTGAGTTTGAGTTCAGCCTGGTCTATGGAGTGAGTTCCAGGACAGCCAGGACTACACAGAGAAACCTTGTCTCAAAAAACAAACAGAAAAGAAAGAAAGCAGGCTGAGCAAGCCATGAGGAGCAAGCTATTAAGCAGCACTCCTCCATGGCCTCTGCATCAGCTCCTGCCTCCAGGTTCCTGCCCTGCCCTGCTTGTGTTCCTGTCCTGACCTCCTTTGGTGATGAACTGTGATGTGGAAGCAGAAACTGAATAAACCCTCTCCTCCCCTGTTGTTTTTGGTCATGGAGTTTCATCATAGCAATTGTAACTAAAACAATTGGGTTACTTCTTGATACCTAGTTGGTTTGTTATTGTTGTTTTCTTTGTTTTGGGGAGATGTTCTTTATGTATTTTGGATATTCGTCCTCAATCAGATGTGTAGTTGGTTAAAATCTTTTTTGCATTCTGTAGATTGCTGCTTTGTCCAAATAATGCTGTCCTTTGCTGTGTGGAGGCTTTTAAGTTTCTTGTTGATATTAGTGCCTGTGCTCACAGTGTTCTGTTCAGAAAGTCTTCCTGTGCTGATGAGTTCAAGGCTATTCCACACTTTCTATCACATTTCAGTGCATCTGGTTTTCTTTTGAGGTCTGTGATCCACTTGGACTTGAGTTTGGTGCAGGGTGATAAGTATGGGTCTATTTAGATTCTTCTACATGCAGCCATCCAGTTTGACCAGCACCATTTGTTGAAGATGCTTTTTTTTTTTATCCAGTATGTATTTTTAGCTTTTTTTTTTTTTAGTCAAAAATCAGATGTCCAACAATATGTGGATTTATGATTTATGTCTAGGTCTTCAAGTTGATACCATTGATCAGCATGCCAGTCTTTGTACCAATGCTGGGCTGTTTTTATCACTATAGCCCTGTAGTAAAACTTGAAATTGGGGATAGTGATACCTCTTTTATTATTCAGAATTGTTGTAGCTATCCTGGGTTTTTTGTTTGTTTTTCCATATGAAATTGAGTATTGTCCTTTCAAGGTCCATGAAGAACTGTGTTGGAATTTTGATGGGGATTGCACAGAATCTGTAGATTGCTTTTGGTAAGATGGCCAGTTTTACTGTATTAATCCTACTAATCAGTGAGCATGGATTCTCTTTCTATCTTCTGATATCTTCTTCAGTTTCTTTCTTCAGTGTCTTAAAGTTTTTATCATATAAGTCTTTCACTTGCTTGGTTAGAGTTACCCCAAGATATTTTATATTATTTAAGGCTGTTTGGAAAGGTGTTGTTTCCCTGATTTTGTTCTCAGTCTGTTTGTCATTTGTATATAGGAAGGCTGATTCTTGTGAGTTAATTTTGTATCCAGCTACTTTCCTGAAAGTATTATCAGCTATAGGAGTTTCCCAGTGGAATTTTAGGGTCACACTATCATATCATTTGCAAATAAAGATACTTTGACCTCTCTTTTTCTAATTGATCTCCTTCAGTTGTCTTACTGCTCTAGTGTGGCTCTGCTTCTTCCTCCTTGGGAGTGTTGGCTGCATTGGTCCACAAGGGTGGAGGGAACAGGGTTCAAGACAGCTGTGAGCATGAATGGAGACAGCCCTCCAGGAGACAGACTTCCGTGAATCAGCTCCACTTAATTCCAGAGTATAAGGAATATATAGGATTAGGAAGTCTGGGGGACAAATTTGCATTAAGTGGCATGCTCCTATCACAAGGCTTAGTATGTGGCAGTAGGGTTCTACCAAGATGGCTAGAGCACTTAACCATGTGGTTCATCAAGGGAAGAAGCACTTAGTGTTAGGAACTTGCCTCCTCTTGTGTCCCAGAAGTTTGGATATGTGTGCATTCATTTTCATTCAATTCTAGAAAATCTTTAATTTCTTTCTTGACCCATTTTTCATTCAGTAGTAAGTTGTTCAGTTTCTATGAGTTTGTAAGCTTTCTGTTCTTTATGTTGTTGTTGATATCCAGTTTTTTGTTTTGGGGTTTTTTTTGTGTGTGTTTGTTTTTTTGTTTTTTGTTTTTTGTTTTTTTGTTTTTTGACACAGAGTTTCTCTGTGTAGTTTTGGTGCCTGTCCTGGATCTCGCTGTGTAGACCAGGCTGGCTTCGAACTTACAGAGATCCGCCTGGCTCTGCCTCCCGAGTGCTGGGATTAAAGGCATGAGCCACCACCGCCCAGAGGATATCCAGTTTTAATCTGTAGTGGTCAGATAGGTTGCAGGGTTTTATTTCAATTTTCTTTTATCTGTTGAGACTTGCTTTGTGTGCAAGTATGTGGTCAGTTTTGGAGAAGGTTCCATGAGGTGCTGAGAAGAAGGTATATTCTTGTGTTTGTGTGAAATGTTATGTAACTATATTTAAATCCATTTGGTTTATAACATCCATTTGGTTAGCTCCAGTGTTTTTATTTTTTGTCTGGATGACCTGTCTTTTGGTGAGAGTGAGGTATTGAAGTTTTCCACTATTGGTGTGTGAGGGTCAATATGTGATTTAAGCTGTAGTCCTGTTTCGGTTTTTTGTTTGTTTTGTTTTGGTTTTTGGTTTTTCGAGACAGGGTTTCTCTGTGTAGTTTTGGTGCCTGTCCTGGATCTCGCTCTGTAGACCAGGCTGGCCTTGACCTCACAGAGATCCGCTTGGCTCTGCCTCCTGAGTGCGGGGATTAAAGGCATGCGCCACCACCACCCGGCAAATCTGGAGTTTTAATTTAGCTTGAAATGGCTTATTGCATTGGCAGAGTTACCCACTACCAGGAATTTTCAAAATACTTATCACTGGGCCGTTACTGTGTTTTTATGCTGGCCACCCATTAAACCATCTCAATGTCCATTCTCCAACTACCTTCCTGCATTTTATTTTGATTTCTGCGTTTTACTGAGATATAATATACTGTCAACTTGGTATTCACATTGAATCTTTTTCCTTAGGCAGTTCCAAGAAGAAGAAAATAAATTCAAGGCCGTGTTAAGTAAAATGTGACTCCATTACATCCACTTATATAAGTCTCATCTGTTTTGAAATTTACACACAGAACAAATTTTTTGTCCTAAAAGAACATTTCCTGAGCTTAATCAATTATATAGTACAGGTTGGACTTAATCAGTCTGTCGGTTAGCAATTAAATTAACACAGTTATTTTTACCTTGTTTCCCCCATGACTCACTAAAATCTCAAGCTCTGTGTGTCCTGTCAGAATTTCAAGCATGATCTCTGGCAGTGGCGAGTCTTGGTATTCTCTTAAGTGGACTGGTAAGGCTCTTGGTTCCTTGTCTCCTCAGAATCCTGGCTGTATGCCATGGAGTCATGTATAAACAGCTCTCAGCCTGGATGCTGCATGGACTCCTCTTGGACCAGCATGAAGAGTTCTTTATCAAACAGGGTCCATCTTCTGGTAATACCAGTGCCCAGGCGGAAGAGGATGAAGAGGATCTGGGGATTGGAGGGCTGACAGGAAAGCAGCTGAGAGAGCTGCAGGACCTGGTGAGGGCACGGCGGGAAGCCCAGGTGGGGAGGGTGCAGCCCAGGTGGGGAGGGTGCAGCCCAGGTGGGGAGGGTGCAGCCCAGGTGGGGAGGGTGCAGCCCAGGTGGGGAGGGTGCAGCCCAGGTGGGGAGGGTGCAGCCCAGGTGGGGAGTGCGTGGCGGGAAGCCCAGGTGGGGAGGGTGCAGCCCAGGTGGGGAGGGCGTGGTGGGACGCCCTGGTGGGGAGGGCACGGCAGGAAGCCCTGGTGGGGAGGGCACGGCGGGAAGCCCTGGTGGTGAGGGCACGGTGGGAAGCCCAGGTGGTGAGGGCACGGCGGGAAGCCCAGGTGGTGAGGGCACGGTGGGAAACCCAGGTGGTGAGGGCACGGTGGGAAGCCCTGGTGGTGAGGGCACGGCGGGAAGCCCTGGTGGTGAGGGCACGGCGGGAAGCCCAGGTGGTGAGGGCACAGCAGGAAGCCCTGGTGGTGAGGGCATGGTGGGAAGCCCAGGTGGTGAGGGCATGGTGGGAAGCCCTGGTGGGGAGGGCATGGTGGGAAGCCCTGGTGGGGAGGGCATGGTGGGAAGCCCTGGTGGGGAGGGCATGGTGGGAAGCCCTGGTGGTGAGGGCATGGTGGGAAGCCCTGGTGGGGAGGGCATGGCGGGAAGCCCTGGTGGTGAGGGCACGGCGGGAAGCCCTGGTGGGGAGGGCACAGCAGGAAGCCCAGGTGGTGAGGGCACGGCGGGAAGCCCAGGTGGTGAGGGCACGGCGGGAAGCCCTGGTGGGGAGGGCACAGCAGGAAGCCCAGGTGGTGAGGGCACGGCGGGAAGCCCAGGTGGTGAGGGCACGGCGGGAAGCCCTGGTGGGGAGGGCACAGCAGGAAGCCCTGGTGGTGAGGGCACGGCGGGAAGCCCAGGTGGTGAGGGCATGGTGGGAAGCCCTGGTGGGGAGGGCACAGCGGGAAGCCCTGGTGGGGAGGGCACAGCGGGAAGCCCAGGTGGTGAGGGCACAGCGGGAAGCCCTGGTGGTGAGGGCACAGCGGGAAGCCCTGGTGGTGAGGGCATGGTGGGAAGCCCTGGTGGGGAGGGCACAGCGGGAAGCCCTGGTGGGGAGGGCATGGTGGGACGCCCTGGTAGTGAGGGCACAGCGGGAAGCCCAGGTGGTGAGGGCATGGTGGGAAGCCCTGGTGGTGAGGGCACAGCAGGAAGCCCAGGTGGTGAGGGCACAGCAGGAAGCCCTGGTGGGGAGGGCACGGCGGGAAGCCCTGGTGGTGAGGGCACGGCGGGAAGCCCAGGTGGTGAGGGCATGGTGGGAAGCCCAGGTGGTGAGGGCACAGCAGGAAGCCCTGGTGGTGAGGGCATGGTGGGAAGCCCAGGTGGTGAGGGCATGGTGGGAAGCCCTGGTGGGGAGGGCACAGCGGGAAGCCCTGGTGGTGAGGGCATGGTGGGAAGCCCTGGTGGGGAGGGCATGGTGGGAAGCCCTGGTGGTGAGGGCACGGCGGGAAGCCCTGGTGGGGAGGGCACAGCAGGAAGCCCAGGTGGTGAGGGCACGGCGGGAAGCCCAGGTGGTGAGGGCACGGCGGGAAGCCCTGGTGGGGAGGGCACAGCAGGAAGCCCAGGTGGTGAGGGCACGGCGGGAAGCCCAGGTGGTGAGGGCACGGCGGGAAGCCCTGGTGGGGAGGGCACAGCAGGAAGCCCTGGTGGGGAGGGCACGGCGGGAAGCCCAGGTGGTGAGGGCATGGTGGGAAGCCCTGGTGGGGAGGGCACAGCGGGAAGCCCTGGTGGGGAGGGCACAGCGGGAAGCCCAGGTGGTGAGGGCACAGCGGGAAGCCCTGGTGGTGAGGGCACAGCGGGAAGCCCTGGTGGTGAGGGCATGGTGGGAAGCCCTGGTGGGGAGGGCACAGCGGGAAGCCCTGGTGGGGAGGGCATGGTGGGACGCCCTGGTAGTGAGGGCACAGCGGGAAGCCCAGGTGGTGAGGGCATGGTGGGAAGCCCTGGTGGTGAGGGCACAGCAGGAAGCCCAGGTGGTGAGGGCACAGCAGGAAGCCCTGGTGGGGAGGGCACGGCGGGAAGCCCAGGTGGGGAGGGCACAGCGGGAAGCCCTGGTGGGGAGGGCACGGCGGGAAGCCCTGGTGGGGAGGGCACAGCGGGAAGCCCTGGTGGGGAGGGCACGGCGGGAAGCCCAGGTGGGGAGGGCACAGCGGGAAGCCCTGGTGGTGAGGGCATGGTGGGAAGCCCTGGTGGGGAGAGCACAGCGGGAAGCCCAGGTGGTGAGGGCATGGTGGGAAGCCCTGGTGGGGAGGGCACAGCGGGAAGCCCTGGTGGTGAGGGCATGGTGGGAAGCCCTGGTGGGGAGGGCATGGTGGGAAGCCCTGGTGGGGAGGGCACGGCAGGAAGCCCAGGGCAGGCACTCGTTGAGACACCTGCCTGGCTGCCTTCCAGGAAACACTGGACTTTCTCTAAATTAGAGACTGCAAAGTAGAAAGTGATTTTGAAATCCTTATTTCTCCTTTCTACAGTACGTACATTTACAAGTTTAGTGATAAGTTTTTTCTATGCAAATATGAGCTCCCTGTAGCTTTTCATGTAGTGTGGAGTTACAAATAGACTCCTCAGAGTCTTACATTGTCCACATTCATTTCTTCATCCATTGGCTCATTATGTTCATTGAATGTCTGTTATGTGCAGGGCAGTCTTATAGGTGTCCAACTACATAGACAAAATGTAGTTCTTATCCTTAAGAAGCGTATAATTTGATGGAAAATTGAGAAAAGTAAGCAGTTACATTACAGTTACCAGATGCTCCACAAAAGAGCGCAGCTGTTCTTAGAAGGTCTTGAGGTAGGGTTTTAAAACTAGAGAAGACTTTTCAGTGGGATGTCTTTCTAAATTGCAATTTGATAAGACAGGTCACAACATATCCAGGGATTGTGTACAATGGTAAAGGCTATTAAGGACAAGGCTTATTGGAGGGACCATTTGAATTTCAGCTGAAATGGTCAAGTAAAGCTGAAGTGTTTGGTGTGTGGGGTAGAGGGTTAAGGGAGGTGGCAGTAGATGACAGAGCTGAGTGAATCAGCAGCAAAATCCTGAGGGTCCTTGTGAACAGAAAGAGTTTAAACCGAGCGTGTAAAGAGCTGATTAAGAGCAGCCGGATAATCCAGGGAAGGAGTGACAGACTTTATGTCTAAAGAGCTGAGTAAGAGCAGCTGGATAATTCCAGGGAAGGAGTGACAGACCTTATGTCATTTTAGGTGCTATATGGGAACCATTTCTTAAAAACCAAGATCAGAAGCTGAGCATGGTGGTGCATACGTGTGATCACAGTTCCTTATAGGACAGGCTAAAGCAGGGGGAGCACCGTCAGTTTAAGACCAGTCTGGCTGACAGAATGAGACTAGTAATCTCAGCACCCAGGAATCAGGCACAGGAGAATTACCCCAAGTTTGAAGCCGCCCCGGTCTACATAGGGAGTTCTAAGCCAGCCTGAGCTGTCTCAAAAACTAAAGCAAAAGTTAAGAGTAGAGGCAAATAGACTAGTTAATAGAGTCTCGGGGATTCTTAGGTGGAAAATAATAATTCCAAGCATGGTAACCATGAATTTGGGGGCAGATAGAGAAGACTGAGAGGTGTTTAGAAAATGGAATCTATAGCCCTTTAGGATTGGCTGTGAATCAAGAGAAAAGTTTTAGCCTTTAGCAGTTAGGCACGAGGTGAGTAGTGATGACAGACAATGCCTGTTGCTGGTGTTTGTTTTTGTGAGCATCAAATCTTCAGCCAGGCAAGTGCCCTACCTCTGAGCTACATTCCCAGCCCAAGGTCAAATATGGGATGTGTTGAGTTTAAGGAGCCTGTGAAAAATGTCCAGTGGGCTCAGCCTGGAAGAGTGGTATAGCTTGCTCTGAAGCTAAGCATGGAATAATCAGTAACAACTTAGAAGTTTTAAATCTGTGGCCTATAGGAAGCTGCAAGAGAGAGGTTTTCTGCATCATGTCTAGTAGACGTTCCACAGCGTTTATATTTGCAGGCCTGTTAAAACAGTCTGTTATAGCCGGGCGGTGGTGGCGCACGCCTTTAATCCCAGCACTCGGGAGGCAGAGGCAGGCGGATCTCTGTGAGTTCGAGGCCAGCCTGGACTACCAAGTGAGTTCCAGGAAAGGCGCAAAGCTACACAGAGAAACCCTGTCTCGAAAAACCAAAAAACAAACAAACAAACAAACAAACAAAAAAAAAAAAAAACAGTCTGTTATGATGCCCAGTGAAGCCACGTAAGATGTTATCTCTGAAAAATGTACAACAAGAGAGAAGAGTCTGGGATATGTCTTGACAGAGCAGACATCTATATACGAGACCTAGAGAATAACAATCAACTCATGGAATTGTACAAACGAAGAAGCTGATCATTTGCCCCCCTGGCACAGTAGTAAAGCCTTATATTTAAAAACTCAGTGCTAGGCGAGGGATTGACTCCATAGGGCAAGTGCTTGTGCAGATGTGAGGACCTGGGTTCAAACTCCCGGAACCCATGTTAAAGACAGATGCTGTAGTGTCAACATCTGTATTCTCAGTGCTTCTGCAGTGAGATGGGAGGCAGAACCAGGAGAATCCCTGCAAGCCTGAAGGCCAGCTAGCTTGGCATATACAGCAGAACAAGGAGACCTTGGTCTCAAGGAGGAAGGTGAGGGCCAACACCTGCAGTTGTCCTCTGACCTCCACATGTATGCCATGGCCCATGTGTGTGCACACTGGACATGCATTGTATACACACGTACACACAAGTAAATTAAAAATCAAAACTCAGTGCTTCCCATCCTGCCACTCCTCTCCATGAAAATGGAGTGCATTTCCAGAACTGATGATTTAAGAACTGTGCAACTTCAGATTTACACCCTGCTTGCCAGTAACATAGTTCATGGGTTGGGGAAGCTAAGACCTATTGTCATACTTCATGTGACGGGTTATTTCCTTGACTAGCGCCTAATTGAGGAAGAGAACATGCTGGCCCCATCTCTAAAGCAGTTTTCCCTGCGAGTGGAGATTTTACCATCCTACATTCCAGTGAGGGTTGCTGAAAAAATCCTCTTTGTTGGAGAATCTGTCCAGATGTTTGAGAATCAAAATGTGAACCTAACGAGGAAAGGTAAGAATCCCCTTGTTCTGTTGGCCACATCCTCAAAGGCTCTTCGTCTGCAACGCTGGCCCAAAGCATGCTGGGTTAGAGTGGCTGGTGACAGTGATGGACTGCTGCAGCCAACAGCTCTGATAGGTTTGCCTGGGCAGCTGTGGCCCCTCCACCCTGTCTGATGACTCCTGTCTGACCATAGTGCCTTTGCACTCCACAGGGTCCATCTTGAAGAACCAGGAGGACACTTTTGCTGCAGAGCTGCATCGGCTCAAGCAGCAGCCACTCTTCAGCCTCGTGGATTTTGAGCAGGTGGTGGATCGAATTCGTAGCACTGTGGCTGAGGTCTGTCTTCTGTCTATTGTTTCAGAAGAAATGAGTTTGGAGAGGATTAAAGGGCAAGAAGTAGAAAAAAGAGAGCAAGCAAGCTTTCTATGGGGCTGCAGAGATGGCTCAGTGGTTAAGAGCACAGGAATTTAACCCAGGACCCACATAGTGGCTCACAGCTATCTGTAATTCCAGTTCTAGGGTATCCAGTGCTCTCTTCTGACCCTCACAGGCACTAGACAGACATGTTGTATACAGACACACATGTAGGCAAACACCCTTACGCAGAAAATGAGTAAAGAACTCCTTTTGTTTTTAAAATAAGGGTAGAATTCACCCTTCCACAGGTTTGTTTTAATTAGTTAATTTAATTAACTAAAGGAGAAGTCTTGTTTATATTTTCTAACATTCATGAATTTGGGTGATGAAAAGCTCTGAGTGTGTGTTGTGTTTTTGTATTGACCATGTATTTCACTTGTACAGGAGAATCTTAGGAGGAAAACCTTTGTGTGTGTGTGTGTGTGTGTGTGTGTGTGTGTGTGTGTGTGTTGTGTTGTGTTTTAGTATCAACCATGTATTTCACTTGTACACAGGAATCTTAGAAGGAAAGCCAAGGAGACAGAATGGTGGTGGTCCAGCCCTTGAGACAAGTGGGAAGGGATGAGTAGGGCTTCCAGGTACTAGCACTTCTTGAGCTGAGGGTACTTACATTGGTGTGTTCATTGTAAACTTTAAGATGAAAGCTTATGATTTAGGTACTATTCTGTATATATATCATTATTTTGACAATAAGGTTTTTAGAAATTTTGTGTATGTAAGAGTTTTGGTTTAAATTATATCTTCAGTTTGTTGGTTATATAGAGAAATAGTAGTACTAATTTATTGATGGCTAATCTTACAGATTCCCATTAACTTTGGGTGTAGTTGGAATTTTCTTTGGGCCACCAACCAGCTCCCAAATAAAAACACAGAGACTTATTATTAATTATGAATGCTTGGCCTTAGCTGAGGCTTGTCCCATTAGCTCTTTTAACTTAATTTAAGCTGTTTCTGTTGATCTACATTTTGCCTTTGGTTTTTTTACCTTTCTTATATTCTGTATCTCTTACTTTTCCTGCTTTCTCCGTGTCTGGCTGGCCAGTCCCTGGGATCTCCATGGTGTCTCTTTTCTTTCTTCCCCCAGCCTAAGTTCCTTCTCCTACTTACTCTCCCTGCCCTGAAGTTCTGCCCATACCTCCTCCCTCACTATTGGCCATTCAGCTTTTTAGTAGACCAGTCAGATGCCTTAGACACATCTTTACATAATTAAACAAATGCAAACATCTTTGCATAGTTAAACAAATATTCCACAACATTTGGGGTGCTAATAGTGTGGGTTTTTTTTTTTTTTTTGGTTTGTTTGTTTTGTTTTGTTTGGGTTTTTTGAAACAAGGTTTCCTGTGTAGCCCTGGCTGTCCTTGAACTCATTCTGTAGACCAGGCTGGCTTCGAACTCACAGAGAGTGACCTGCCTCTGACTCCCAAGTGCTGGGATTAAAGGCCTGAACCACCACCGCCCAGCATCCTATAAATTTTTTAAAGATGTATTAAAGATGACATCATCTGAAAATAATAAGTGTTTTACAACATTTCCTCCAATGTTTAAACCTCCCCCCTCCTCCAATACACTTTTCAGCTAGGTTCTTTACTGATGCATTAGTCAGCTGGGCTTGGTATAAAGTATGTCAAACAGTAGAGGTGATAACGGATGTCTCTGATTTCTTGACTCCTGGAGATTCCACAGTTGTTCCTGCATTACTATAACATTTACTGTAGTCTTCTAGAACAGAAGTTTGTTGAAGAATTCTCTTCTAGTTGACGGAGTTTTTTATCGTAAGGGATGTTCAGTTTTACCAGCTGCCTCCTGTGTTAGTGGAGTGTTCTTGCTTTGGATCTAATTTTTGTATCTGCATTCATTAGCTAAGTAAGACTATTATCTGTCTGTCTTGTTCCTTTGTTGTTGTTTTTGTTAAAAGTTTATATTAGGTTATTTCCTATCTAAAAAGTGATCTAAGGTAAGCTTTCTTCAGGAAGGAAAGCTTTACCAGTATGTTTAAAATTAAATTACCATAAAATTTCTTATTGTAACTGTGGGGGCCCATACGAGGGGACCAACAGGCAGCATTGGAACTCATGGAACATGGCAGGGCGGTTGGCAAAGCCATGCCTGAGTGAGCGTTGGGAGGCAAAGTCCTGGGGACTAGGTGTCCGGAGACCTGCTGCTGCTGTTGAGCAGAGTTCTGATTGCTGCCTTCACAGCCACCGCATTCCTCACCATCTGTGAGTTGTATGAACTCTTGGAGTTTCTAGCCCCTCACTGGGCAGTGTTACTGGTATTTACAATAATAGTGAACGACGTTTTCCAAGCATTGCTGCTGGAGCTCTCAAAAAAGTCCTCATGTGTCTGTCTGTCTGTCTAGTGGTTTGCCTGTTCTGCATCTCCTCTTCAGTTTCTCTGACCTGCAGAAGGCTAGGTCAGCACCCCAGCTGAGATCCTAACATGTTGGAGGTGTGTGTGTGTGTGTGTTTCCCGTTTTTGCTGGCCCCAGAGAATTAAGTTTTATTCCCTCGGATAGAAAAGTCAAGTTGAGTGATTAGTTTGCCAACTTTTTAAATACTCACTTGTCTGAAATTATGTTTTGTTTACTTAAGTTTTGTCTTTTAAAAATCAGTTTGTGTGTTTGTGTTTTTGTTGCATGTGTATGTGCACATGCACAGTCGCCCCAGAGGTCAGCTTCTGTTATCTTCTGTTTTCACTCTCCACCGTGCGTCTTTCACAGAACCAAGCGTTCTCCATTTGGGCTAGCCTGGCTGCCAGTGAGTCCTCAGGGTCCCCAGGATCTCCTTCTGTAGCTGTCTCCCGGCATTGGGCTGTAGGCATGAGCCACGATACCCAGAGTTAGAGTACATGTGAGAGATCGGAACTCCGGTCCTTCTGCTTGCTTAGCAAGCTCGCTCTTCACTGAACCATTGCACTAGCCCTAGTTTTTCTCATTATTGTTTAGTATTTTTAGACTCTTATTAAGATTAATAAACTAATTAGAACCAGCTTTTGTTTCTTATTTCCCTTAATTTTTAAATTATTTAGGTCATTTTTACTTGTCTTTCTCTTTTTCTTCCATCTTATTTAAATATTAAGACGTACTAACTTTACATAAAGGCCAGTTATATATAAATGGAAAATCATGTAGTATTTCAGGGTTTTTTTAATTTATTCATTTTTATGTGCATTGGTGTTTTCCCATGGGTACTGGGTCCCCTGGAACTGGAATTACAGACGGTTGTGAGCTGCCTTGTGGGTGCTGGGAATTGAATCTGGGTCCTCTGGAAGAGCAGTCCGTGTTCTTAATCACTGAGACATCTCTCCAGCATCTCATGTAGTATTTCAATGCATGTATAAGTTGTATGATTTTTTTTTTACATGTATGGGTGTTATGCCTGCATATATATCTGTGCATCACATGCCTGCCTGGTGTCCTTAGAGGCCAGATGAGGGTGTCAGATTCTCTGGAACTGGAGTTAGATGGTTGTGAGCCACCTTGTGGGTGTTGGGAATCAAACCTATGTCCACTAGAAGAGCAGCAGTATTCTAACTGATAAGCCATCTCTCCAGTCCTTTAAAAAAAAAAAAAAAAAAAAAAAGATTTTGCTGCATAAGCAAGGTTGGCCTGGAACTAGACGGTCATCTTCCTGCTGCAGTCTCCCAGTGCTGGATGACAGGCATGTACCATAAATCATAAACAAGCCGGGAGGGTGGTGGTGCACACATTTAATCCCAGCACTCAGGAGTAGAGGCAGGAGGATCTCTGAGTTCGAAGCCAGCCAGGCATTTGATCTACAGAGCAAATGCCAGGACAGCCAGGGCTACACAGAGAAACCCTGTCTTGAAAAACCAAAAAAACCAAAACAAACAACAAAAAAAAAATGAGCAAATGGAGAATTCTATCCAATGCTTTTTCTTCATCTCTCGAGGTAATTTTACTTAAATTTAATTTAGTAAGTTATACTCATGCTTTTTTTTTTTTTTTTTTTTTTTTTTTTTTTTTTTTTTTTTTTGGTTTTTCGAGACAGGGTTTCTCTGTGTAGTTTTGCGCCTTTCCTGGAACTCACTCTGTAGCCCAGGCTGGCCTCGAACTCACAGAGATCCGCCTGGCTCTGCCTCCCGAGTGCTGGGATTAAAGGCGTGCGCCACCACCGCCCGGCATACTCATGCTTTTTTGAGATAGGGTCTCATTAGGTAGAGACTCTGCCCATCCTGTAACTCCTCACCCTGTAGACCAGACGGGCCTTGAACCCACAGTGATCTCCTACCTCTGCCTCCCAAGTGCTGGGATGTAAGGCATGCACCGTAACACTGGCTACATTCACGCTTTTTAAAAAGTTGATTGAGACAAAATTCACACAAACAACATTGTAGGTATTTAAAAATGGTACTCAATCCAGTGGTTTTTAATTTCACAGTTGTATGTGCAGTTATTAGCATCAGTTTCAGGACATTTTTGTCTTGTATAGGTTTTTGTTTTGTTTCTGTGTAACTATCTGTTCATTACTAGGGTTAGCTAAACTTGGGTTCAGTGTAATGAACTTACGTTTGTTTGTTTAATCTTGTCACAGCACCTCTGGAAGCTAATGGTAGAGGAGTCAGACTTACTGGGTCAGCTGAAGGTAATAACTGATACTCTTTTCAATCTTGAAATGATTGTGGGAAGCACTCTTGCCTAGACTCCCACAGTAGACTCATTTGTTATTACTCAGGTGAGGAAATTTTATTTGATGCTACAAATCTTCTGAACTCTATAAAGATTCAAGTTACTCTCTTATGTTGTGATCTAAATGCCATCAAACACAAAGAGTTGTGTTTTGAAGGGCTGCTCTGTATGCATCTTTAAAATACAAAGCCTGTAGCCGGGCGGTGATGGAGCATGTCTTTAATCCCAGCACTCGGGAGGCAGAGCCTGGCGGATCTCTGTGAGTTCAAGGCCAGCCCGGTCTACAGAGCGAGATCCAGGACAGGCACCAAAACTACACAGAGAAACCCTGTCTCGAAAAACCATAAAAAAATGAAGCCTGTGTCCCTCAGACTGAGCATCAGCCCCTATGTGTCTGATTTTCTTAGGGTAGTAAGGGCCTCCAGGCTCTGATTTACTGAATTGTACATTGAAATTCTTTCCTCAGATCATTAAAGACTTTTACCTTCTGGGACGAGGAGAACTGTTCCAGGCCTTCATTGACACAGCTCAACACATGTTAAAAACACCACCCACTGCAGTGACAGAACATGGTAATTGTCCTATGGCCCTAGAATAAACAGCTTGCTCAAGTTACAGGTGTTTGTTGTGTGTTGTATGTTTGGCTACAAAGGCCAGAAGAGCCAGAACTTGAGTCACAAGGGTTTGTGAACTGCCATGTGGGTGTGTGGAAGGGAACCTGGGTCCTCTGCAAGAGTAGCCAGTGCTCTTAAGTACCAGTGCTCTAGCCACCACAACCTGTTTCTGTCTTATAAATGACAGAGACCTAACCTGGGAAACCCTAGTTATATCTAAAGCTCCCTTGTGCTTGGGGTATAACAGTTGCAGAACAAGTAAAGCAAAGGTCTTCAGTACTGTTAAGACTTTTCTTCTTACCTTTGATGAACCCTCCTACCCAAGACTTCTGTAACAGCCTAGCCTGGTCTCTAGCAGCAAATTAAAGAAGTCCAGTGAAGTGCTTTATTTTAATTGGCCCTCCCCAGGTCACAAGGCTATCACTGTAACAATAAAAAAGTGAGCCATTAGGATATGCCTCCTCAGCAAAGTGTCTTCCCTTGGCCAGTTAATGACTGCATCCATCCAGACATGGCAAGAGAATGTAGTAAGGGTCCACGCCAAGAAAAAGAAAATGGGAAGGAAAATGGAGGGCTATTGTTTTTATAGTTTAATGAAACAATAGATATCTACTGTACTTTTTTGTTACAGATATCAGAAAAGCCAGTTCGGACTCACTTAAGCAAATAAATAAAAATGATAGAATTTATTGATTCTCATACTATCTCAGAGGTGATAGTTTTAGGTAAAACCTAATTATCTTCGTCTTGTTGGCTGGCCAGCAAGACAGGCTCTAGCCCAGTGGTTCTCAACCTTCCTAATGCTGTGACCTTTTAATACAGTTGCTCATGTCGTGGTGACACCCAACCATAAAATTATTTTCATTGCTACTTCATAACTAATTTTGCTACTGTTATGAATCATAATGTCAATATCTGATATACAGGATATCTGATTTGCAACCCCTGTGAAAGGGTCTTTCAACCCCCAACTGCTGTTCTTTCCAGATTTATATGCTACTAAAACTGATCTCAAAAGAGCTACGTTCTTTCGGAGTCTGAACAGAGCCTTTGGGTTGGCCTACTATCAGATCAAGACTATAGACAAAACAGCCAAAAGGTCAGCTGTCATGGCCCATTTGATCATGCTGCCTCCCCAAGAATAGGGTGTTGCCACCCCGGCTGAGTACAGGAACTGTACTGAGCAGGGGTGATTCTCTCAGGATTGTCTCTAACAAGGACAAGGAGAATTAATGCTGGTCAGACAGAAGCCACAGATACCCTGGCCTTAGCCCAACCCTACTGTTCCATTCCTTTGCTCTTTCTTCCAGACGTGAATGTGGCCTTTCAACAGTCGGCACACAAGGTGCTGCTAGATGATGACAACCTTCTTCCTCTGCTGCACTTGACAATCGAGTATCATGGAAAGGACCACAAAGGTTTGTTATTCTCCAATTGCCTCTTCTCTGCATCTTCTGGTTTTCATCATTCTCCCTCCACAGAAACTATAGTTTTGGACCTCAGGGATCACCTTGTCTAGTTCTCTAATTTTGTACAAGAACAAATGTAATTCCAGAAGGGTTCAGGTGCTCTGTCCATAGGTTGTTTTTGAGATTGCCCTCACAGAAGGTTCCTTCCCTCTACCTTTGTTGCCTCTCAGTGCTGCGATTTAGCACCACTGATGTCTCATTTTATGTGTGCAGTTCATCTTGCTCTCTCTGGTTGTAATTAACCAAGTTATTTTTCATGATCTTCTTCACCATAGCAGATGCCACCCAGCCAAGAGAAGGGCCTTCTCGGGAAACGTCTCCCAGGGAAGCCCCTGCTTCCGGCTGGGCTGCTCTGGGTCTCTCCTACAAAGTACAGTGGCCACTGCATATTCTCTTCACCCCAGCTGTCTTGGAAAAGTAAGTATTTCTGAGTTCCTCCCAAGTAAGTATTACCACCTTATATCCGAGGGAAGAAGTAAGTGAACGGGAATAAGATTGGTGGAAGTAAGCTAGTCATCCAGCTGGTTTCTACAGTAGGAAGCCAGAAGTTGCAGACTCGCCTGTCTTCAGGAGCTAGGTAGGGGTTCTAGTTTGCTTTCTGTTGCTGTGAAAAAGACTATGATAAAAAGCAACTTGGGAGAGCCAGGCGGATCTCTGTGAGTTCGAGGCCAGCCTGATCTCCAGAGCGAGTTCCAGGAAAGGCGCAAAGCTATACAGAGAAACCCTGTCTCGAAAAACCAAAAAAAAAAAAAAAAAGCAACTTGGGAAGAAAGGACTTATTTGGTGTATATGTGTAGATAGCAGTTATTCATTGAGGGAAGTCAGCATAGAATTCATTCAGGGACAGAGGCTGAAACCATAGAGGAGTGCTTCTTACTGACTTGCTCCTCAGTTTGCTCAGTTTGTTTTCTTACACATCCCAGACCCACCTGTCCAGGTGTGGTATCACCCACAGTAGGCTGGGCCCTTCTACATCAGTCATCAATCAAAAACATGCCCCACAGATTTGCCCCCAGGCTAATCTGATTAAGACAGTTCCTTAACTGAAGCTTCCTCTTCTTAGGTTACTCCACCTCGTGTCAGTTTGACCAAAAATAAAACAAAAACAACAAATAAGCAACTCACAAAAAAAGTGAGGTAACAGCCATGAAACGACAGGGAATGATGAGGACTTGAAGGGGTGGGAAGGCACATAGCCACTTAGGCTCATCAGACCAGGGCTGAGAAGTACCTGAGTGAAGGGGAGGAGGACCTGAGTTCAAATCCCCAGAGCGCATAGGAAGTGTGAGTGAGTCCACGCCTGTAATCCCAGCACTTCTACCATGAGAGAGATAGGAGGTAGAGACAGGAGTATCAGTAAGTATACAAGCCAACCAGTTTAGCATACACAGAGGCAAACAGCAAAAATACCCTGTCTCAAACAAGGTGTAGGGGGATGTCCAGTTTGGCATTCACATGGTTCCCATGGCATATGCCCACCTGCATTCACTCACACACAAAATGACACTTTTAAGATTTATTTTTGTATGTATCTGTCTGCGCACATGCATGCAATTGTGAAGCACCCAGTATGGGTGCTAGGATCTAAATCCAGGTCTCTTCAAGAATAGCAAGTGTTCTTAACCATTGAGCCATCTCTGTAGTCCCAGACTTTGATTGAGACAGGATTTCTGTATGTAGCCCTGGCTGCCTTAAACTCACAATGTAGGCCAGGCTGGCCTCAAACTCACAGAGATCTGTTTGCCTCTGCTTCCCAGGCATTGAGATTAAAGGTATACACCACCATGCCTGGCCCAGACTTCTCTTTTTAAAAATCAACAAATAATAATAATAATAACTGTAGGCTTTTTATTTGTAGACTAGTTTGTGGTCTCTCAAATTTCAAGTCTCAGGTAACACATTGAGTTCTGGCACTTGCCTATTCCATTAGTCCTTTGAAATTTCCCCCCTGGTTTTTATGATTTGTTGTTGATGATAATTTACTTGGGACCCTTATATTAATTAGTTAGGTTTCTGTTGCTGTGATAAAGACTCTGACCAAAAGCAAAGGTTTTTATTTCAGCTTGTAGCATATATAGCAATAGGAAGAAAAGTCAGAGCAGGACCCTGGAGGCAGGAACTGAAGCAGAAATCGTGGAGGAGTGCTACTTACTAGATTGCTGCTCATGGCTATTTCAGCTTGCTTTTTTATACAACACAAGACCTCACAGAGATGGCACCACCCACTGTGGTCTGGGCCCTACCACATCAGTCATTAATCAAGAAAATGCCCCACAGACTTGCCTACAGATCACTCTTAAGGAGACATTTTCTTGAAGGCAGACTTTTCTGTCCCTCCTGCCAGCTCCACAACATGGAGACTTCTTATTAATTATAAAAGCTCGGCCAATAGCTTAGTCTTGTTTCTAACTAGTTCTTATAACTTAACCCACTTCTATTAATTTACTTCTGCATCGTAGATTTATTACCTTTACTCTGCCTATGTTGCTTTCCTGATTTCTCGTCTAACTGGCGACTCCTCATGACTCCGCCCTTCTTTCCATCGTCCTCTCTGCCCTGAAAATCCTGCCTAGCTATTGGCCATTCAGCTTTTTATTAAAACAATTGGAGTGACAAATCTTCACGGTGTACAAAAACATTATTCCACAACATTTTCTCGATTGAGGCTCCCTCTTCACAGATGACCCTAGTTTGTGTCATTTTAACTAAAAATGAACAATCCTCTTTCTTCTGTGGGGAGAAAACCAAGCTAGGGGGATGGAATGAGGGGGCTGGACCACAATGTGATGCTTTGATTACAATCATGTTCCTTTGGATGAACATCTGCCCAGTACGTGATGGGACCCGATGTCTCCAGGAAGGAGATGAGAGAAGCACACTGCACCCGGAGAAAAGATAAGGAAACCATTCTTGCTGTGGCTACAGGAGTGAGGAAAAGACCATCTCTTTTCAGGCTCCCCTCTCTAGCTTCTTTGTTCTTCACAGCATGCCTTCTGTTTTAGAATATACAGACGCTGGCAGATTGGGCGAAAGCAATAAATGATGAGGCTGCTGCAGGGAGAAGGTTCTGCAACAGGTTCAGAGCTTACAACCCAGCTAGACAAGGGGTATAGACCTTGTCCAGAGACTCCAAAACTTGACTACTCACAGATGCCTACAGTCCATTAACCGTCCCATTAGATGTGGGGTTTTTAAATATTTAGTATCACTTTAAAAATTAATGTTTTTAATATTTAATAAAATAAAAACATTTTGGTAAACTTTAAAATATTTGATTTTTAATATTTAATACAATACCTGGGTGGTGGTGGTGCACGCCTTTAATCCCAGCACTCGGGAGGCAGAGCCAGGCGGATCTCTGTGAGTTCAAGGCCAGCCTGGTCTACAAAGCGAGTTCCAGGAAAGGCGCAAAGCTACACAGAGGAACCCTGTCTCGAAAAAACAATATATATATGTATGTATTTTTTATATTTATATTATATTAAATGTTTAATACAATATTTTTAATGTTTAATTTTTTAATATGTGTATGCCTGTGTGATATGTATGGGGTGTGAGATGTGAGTGGCTGCAGGATCAATATGGACACTGGATATCCTCTCTCATGCTCCTCCTTATTCCCTTGTGACAGGCTCTTACTGAGGCTTAGTTATTTCACTATATAACTGAAATTCATTTCATTTTCTCTGCTGTATAATTTACTGCATAAATATGCTATTCTCACCACTCATCTAGCCTGCCTGCCTTTGGAGGAAGAGAGAGGAATCCTTGTGTCTGTTGTGTGGAGGGATGTTAGAGTAAGGTCCATATCTCAGTGAGGTTTCTGTTATAGGTACAATGTTGTTTTCAAGTACTTACTGAGTGTGCGCCGTGTCCAAGCTGAACTGCAGCACTGCTGGGCTCTCCAGATGCAGCGTAAGCACCTCAAATCTAACCAGACAGATGCAGTCAAGTGGCGCCTAAGAAATCACATGGCCTTCTTAGTAGATAATCTTCAGTACTATCTCCAGGTATGTTCTGAGCGATGCATGGAAGAGGTGGGAAAGGGAGTCTAGAAAACACTGAGAAGGGTCTGTGATTCTGTATTTGGTAAAATGCTGCAGTTGGAGAAAGTTCGGGAGTTCTATCACTAGATATGTTTCTTGGCATTTTAAAGGGAAAAGGGATTTAGATTTCAGGATACATCTTTGTCAGACATTCTGAAATTCTCAGGCATGTCCAATCTTTTGACAATGTGGCATGGCATCATCATTTACAAAGTTCACACCCAAGAACCCATGCAACAGTTACCACACTGCCCCCACCCCCCAAAGAATCTCACTTTAGAATTTTGTGTTGCTCCTTGACTATGTGTAGCCCATCCCTATCCTTGGCTACATGTTGGACAAGCTTGCTATTGTTAACCAGGTCAGTCAGTGGAAGAGATGAGACATGAGTGGTCTGCAGAGACATTTGAAACTATGAGAACTACATGCCCATGGAGCTAGAAAGATGGCTTAGCAGTTAAGAATGCTGACTGCATTTGGAGGACCCAGGTTTGGTTCTTAGCACTCACATGGTGGCTCACAGCCATCAGTAACAATAATCCAGTAACTCTAGTCTCAGAGATCTGACACCTTCTTCTGACCTCTGTGGGCACCAGGTATGCATGTGGTACACATACACACATGCCAGCAAAACACACCTCATTTTTTTTTTTAATTACATGACCATGACTGGGAATATAGCTCAATTGGTAGAGTACTTACATATCATACAGGAAGGGTTTGAGCCCCAACACTGAAAATGTCAGATGTGGTGATACCTGTCTATAATCCCAACACTTGAGAGGTAGAAGCAAGAAGATCAGAAGTTTGAGGTCATCCTTGGCTATACAGTGATTTTTGAGGCCAGCCTGGACTACATGAGACCCTGTCTCAAAACCAGAAATTATACAGTCAGACCTGTTTATACACAGCTGTAACATCCACACTGGGGGAACGTCAGGAAGGAGAATCATGAAGTCTGGGCTACAGTAAGACCCTGTGCCAAAAGAAACAAATGTCAGGGAATGTAGCTCAGTGGTACAGCCTCCCCTTGCACACACAAGGCTCAGCAACTGAAGCACGTCTTTGGTCAGCCTCAAGTGGCTAGAAGGAAAAGGAGGACTGGTAAGGTGGTTCAGTGGGTGAAGGCTAGAGCCCCATGTCTGATGACAGGAGACTCTGGAACAGACCCTGGAAAATTGTCCTTTGCCTTCCACATGTACACTGCAACATGAACAATTCACACACACACACACACACACACACACACACACACACACACACACACACACACAAATACAGATGAAAAGAACCATAAAATAGAGCACTCAGGATGTGCCAGGTGCTAACAAAATTATCCATCTATCAGGTAGATGTGCTGGAGTCTCAGTTCTCACAGCTTCTTCATCAGATCAATTCTACACGGGACTTTGAAAGCATCCGATTGGCACATGATCACTTCCTAAGCAATTTGCTGGCCCAGTCCTTTATTTTGCTGAAACCTGTAAGTAGGCATGGTCGGTTTCCTTATCCTGCTTCTAATATGTTCCTTAAGGCTCTTGGAATTGACAAGATATGAAACTTATTAAGCCCTTGTTCAATCCCATTTTTAACATCTTTGACAACTCAAAGCAAAATAAAAAGGCAGCATTAAAAGGGAACTGAAATGTTGTATCATAGGGTGTGGTGAACAGGTATAGATAATGTATTGAACCCCCAGAAGAAATGACTTACAGAAAATCACAAATCTCCCTGACTCCACAGGAAAACAGAATTCACTTTCTTGGAAATCTGTTGGACCAGGATCAACCAATAATTTGAAAGTTGTTTTCATAGGTACATAGTGTCTATCACTCTGGATGTGTCTATCTGCAAGTACACACATTTAGCACTTTTGTGGAAGCTCTCCTCAACCCTGACTACATACTGGAGTCATCTGTGACCTTGTGAAAGTCTAAGGCCAGAGGACACTTAAGTCAAACATGTAGATTGGAGTCCAGGCACCAGTAATTTTTAAAGCACACAAGCTGGTTCCAGTCCCACGATGAAAAGTGAGATAGTGAAATAATCCCTATACAGTGTTTATACTTGAATCTCTGCAGTGAGCAAGTTGTTCTGCTCAGGGCACCAACCATAAATGGTATAGGCTGCTTTTCCTCTGGTATTTGGGACTGTTACTTGTCAAATCAAGAAAGAATGACTTAAGTAGCCACCACCCCAAAGGTTTCTGTGAATTGAAAAAACACTGCAGTAGTAAGCACCGTTCTCACATGGCATGGGCGTATCCCCAAGGAAAAGCAGAACACCAGAACAGATCATTATTATTGAAGTCTTTATTGAGTGCTTACTGTATGCAAGGCACTGGGGATACAAAGAGGTATAAGTCATGGCTCTGCCCTTAAGGAGCTCACAATCTAGTTGGAAAAACAAGAGGTACATACAAAAGTCAGCAACAGCACGGGTGGCCTGGACAATGGCCAGTAAACAACACAGATACAACAGCAGAGAAAGGCAGAGTTCACTAAAGGCTGCAGTGGGGAAGGAACATTTCACAGAATGGGGCTTGGACTGGTACTAAGGAGAAGAGAAATCCTAGGGAACTGTGCTCATAGCTCAAAGGCAAGAGCATACTCAGTGGGACTAATAAAGGAGGATGAGCTAATGGCAGCTAGAGTGGAGGCTTTGGCAGGGGGACAGAGAATATGGCTGTCCCAGGAAGGGATGTTCATTCTGTATGTCGCTTGGGAGGGCCAGACAACATTGAAGGTGGTGATGTCTGTGTGGAGTTCAGACACAGGAGGTCAGCTGCTAGACTATTTTCCCAAACCTTGAGTTTTCAAGTTTCTTCCTTCATTTCCTAACGTCAACTATATTTTTCGATAGGTGTTTCACTGCCTGAATGAAATCCTAGATCTCTGTCACAGTTTTTGTTCACTGGTCAGTCAGAACCTGGGTCCACTGGATGAGCGGGGAGCTGCCCAGCTGAGCATTCTTGTGAAGGTGAGTCTGCCTGGCCACTGGAAATACATACTCCCAGCCCCACTCCCATAGAGCAAACAGCCTTTGCTCTGAGTCAGTAAAGTGTATCCCAGAACAGATGAATGATAAGATAAAAAGATAAAAGTGTTGGTATCAGTGGATTCTGAAGATGATTAATGTGCTGCCTCACAGCGTTCAGAAATAGTTCAGCCCTGAATAGTTTATTCAGCCCACCAGTATGCATTGGCCTTGTGCTCATTTTCTCACATCCCACTTCCTTCCCTGAAGCAGCCTCTCATCTCACTTGTAATTATAATCTGAGACTATATTTATCTCCTTGTAACAAAGCAAGCTCACTGCAGTCCCAGTACGTGATAGAGTATATTAATCTGAAATGAGCTGGTACATTCCTCCTAATGAGAAAGTACTTTCATGGAAGTCATGCATTTCACAGACATGGTACTAAGAAGTCAAAGTCATTTTAGGAGCGGATAGAAATGGGACTGTCCTGCAGAAATTTAAGCAAGGCCTTTCCAAAGACCGCAAGCACCTAGCACTCTGCATGTTAGTGACAGCTCGGGTCTCTCAACAGGGCTTTAGTCGTCAGTCTTCACTCCTGTTCAAGATTCTTTCCAGCGTTCGGAATCACCAGATCAACTCAGATTTGGCTCAATTACTGCTCCGGCTAGATTATAACAAGTATTATACCCAGGCTGGTGGAACACTGGGCAGGTAGGAATAATCCTTGGGGAACTCATTAGATGTGGGGGAGGGGGTTAATGAGTTGTAGAAGTCCAAAATGGAACTTTAGCCTTCATCCACAAATGTTCTCATTTTATAAGCAAGGCTCAGAGATATGGGAAGGAGGGAGGGTGTAATCATGTTTCATAATTTTACTGGAGACTATGTTCTGGAAAAATCATCAGCATGATGAAGTACTAATAACAGCCGAGGACGAGTTCTATACAGGGTTCTGTACCTTGTGTTCTAGGGGGCAGTATGGCTTGCAGAGCCTGCTGTGTCATTACCAACTGGAAAAGCATTTCATTGCCCTTCTTCCTAAGATGTCCACAAACATGTTTCTTTCTAACTAGTTTTAGCAGAAGCCAAACATCTTTGAGTATCAAGGTATTATCAGCTGTATCTCAGATGGCTAAGCTTCTTGGGAAAGCATGACATTTAATGAAACTTTGTCTTCCTCTTTATAGTTTTGGGATGTGAAAACTGGTTCATAAAATGAACTGACAGTCCTACCACGTTCTGATGTCTGTAGCAAACCTCCCCAGTCATCCGTCAGATGCCTGCAGACTGGTAAAAGGAAAGGATGCTACCTTTTCTTCTAGAAGCAGTCCAGAGGTATAAATCCTTCCTACCATTCCTGTAGGGAAACTGGCTGGGGCCAGCTCTCTCTCCGCTCTCCACTCAAAGGCTTTGATCTTTTACACTAAGACATCTGTTGGGTGGGTTCATTTGTGCAACAGTGGTGTATTGAGCATTTACTATGTCCCTATGGACTCTGTGGAAGATACCACAGAAAACAATTGGTATCAATAAAATATGTTTAGGTTTGGTTCATATGTTAAGAGAGGAATCATGCTTATGAACAGGTCAACATCTAGATGTCACCACCAAATTAGAAAAGACTTAAGAACCAGTCGGTGGTGGTGCACACCTTTAATCCCAGCACTGAAGGCAAAGGCAGGCAGGTCTCTGTGAGTTCGTACCCAGCTTAGTCTACACAGTGAGTTCCAGGACAGCCAAGGCTACACAGAGAAACCCTGTCTCGAAAAGCCAATTAAAAAAAAAAAAAGACCTAAGACAGGCTGTGGGCTTTCCCTCCTCTGTACCACGTAATTTATAACTACACAGATTATCTTTATTCTTCAGAAATTTAAGATTTGAGAGCCTCCTTCCTTTAAGGATACTCAGTCTGATCTCAAGAATTCAGCCAGTAGGTTCTAATTCTTTCAGACTGATAGAGGGGCAGTTCTAGCTAAAGAGGATAGAGGTCAAATTGTTCCGATTTTAGATACTGAAAACTACAAACTTAGTTTCCCCACCTTAGACAGACCACGGCGAGTTAAGGTTATGCTGAGAGTGCGGTCACTAATGTTCACAGCAGTGTAAACAAAGGAGATACTCCATTAACACACCTTCCCTCCAGGTGGACAAGAATGAGGTGTTCAGGCCTCAGTTTGTAGTCACTGAACGTTCTCTTCATCTACATATTCTACCACCCACTATGAAAGCCTGTACTTGTCGATTACAGAGGATCCCTTCCATTGTTACCTCTAGGAGCAAAGCGTGGCAGATATTGGCCTACTGCTTGTTTTCATAAATAAAGTATTGTTCAAACAGCCACACATACTCATTTACCTAATGTCTATGATTGCTTTCATCTCATGGACGGCAAAAGACAAGAAATTGTGACAGACTAAATGGCCACAAAGTATTTACTGTTTGGCTCTTTATAGAAAAGGTAAAGACTAATAGCCTTTATCGAGAGAATGAGAGGCTGTTTGTTAATGGGGATGATGTTGAATTCGAGGAAGGAATAGCTTCCAGCAGTTGTGACAGTTAACACTTATATTTTACAGAAAATTGTCCTATCAAGTTTATAGTCAGTCACTGTCCATTCATACCAATTGGTCATTTTCCCATTCAGCTCTGAGTACCACAAATCAGCTGTTAATAAGCTTAGGTCTTGATGGTCTTGACACCCAGAGCCATCCCCAATCCCGTTCAGCTTTGGCACTGCTGTTTATCTAGGCCCTCACGTACTTTACGTTGAGTTTTTAGAAGCATAATGACAGCCTGAGATAACCTTTTGACATTGACAGTGGTGCCACAGAATAAATGTCATTGCTACATTTTTATCCTTTGTTTGGTGTACTGCTAAAGTGACAAGCCTGCTGGAAAGCTTCAGAGAAGATCCTGTTACCACGTTCTGAGCTTAAGCTCAAAGAAACAGATGAAGAAATCTCAGTTACTACAACCAAAGAGAGTCAACATTTATTTTATCATAAAAGTCCAGCAAATAAAACTATGTACAAGATCCATGCAAAGAATACAGTTACACACAAGACACACTTAAAACCTGATTAAAACACAATCTCCACAATAGCAGGGATGAAACCAGTAAGACCAGGTGTCTTTAGTGAGAAACATAATCATGTTTGTATTTTGGATGCTGCTTGAATCCAATTCTCTCCCCAACAATGAGGCACTGGATCACCCACTCTTGTGACACCACAGGCAGCTGCAAGGCTTCAGCACACTTGAGCACCGAGGCTGGGCATGAGGGGTCTGTCACCACCACATCAAATACCCCTAAAGCAATGTCTGCAAGAAGTAGGGGGAGTGAGCGAGGAGAGAACACTCAGTTTAGCTCTTAGTAAAAACAGCTGTGCCTTCTAGCCAGCATCCCCTGCTCTGCCGACCAAAGCCCTCTTTCAAAGCCCTCTTACAGATACTGTATGTTCACAACCCAAAGTAAAAGTTGTCAAGAACTACTGAATAGAAATGCCACTGGAGACTACAGAAGCAGGGACAGCTTTGTCCTTCCCTTACAGCAATCCATCCTTTCTGAAGGTGGGACACCTCTTAAAAATAAGGCCTGAGACTTGAACACACAGGCTAACAGCCCTGAGTCTAAGGACACCCCTGGATGACAGTGAACACACCCTCTCCAGGTACCTTTGTTATGGGCACTTGAATGGTGCTGCTTCACGGAGGCTGCCCCTCCAGTCATGAGGATCTCCGACCAGAGCTCCAGGAAGTTCTGCTGTTGATCTGACACCAAGAGGACCTTCAGATTCTGGAAAGGGTTTTCACGGGGTTGCCTATGGAGGAGTTGGAGACACAGTGTTTAGGAACTTGAAAGAATTAGTGTGACCTGCCATATCTAACAATTAGCTCATCTGCAGAGGAACTCCTCCTGCACATCTGAATGCTTTCCTAACTAGGCCATGTATGGGAATAAGCCCTGCCTCTCTTCTGATGGGGTATGCACTCTGGGATCCGGACTTTGCCAATAAACCAATCAAGTTATGCTCCTGAGTCCCTTCCCCTCTTATTAAGTTTAATGATTGAAACTGCCTCCTCATTTCAGTGCTTCCCCTAATAGAGGATACTGACTCTAATCTTCCCACATCTTCAGAAGGTTCCCAGCCAAAAAGTACTTGACTATGGAAATCATTTCAAATTCTTAGTCTACAGACGTTCCAGTTTCTAGTCACACTTTGTTTTCCCAACGAGACTTTCCTCCCAAAAGCTAGTCTTCCTATCTTCTCAGCTCTAGATGGGCTCCCCAACACTCACCAATCCAGAATTCTTTGCTCCTCAAGGCTGTACCCAGCAGGCAGCAGATAGTTACGGTAGTTTTGAAGCTGGTTGGCATGGCAACTGTCATGGACCCAAACGTGTGACACACAAGGAATTCCACTGGCAAGGCACAGGAAGTACTTCCGGGTTCGACAGTGCTGATCCGCAATTAGGAGACACTGGTAGGCGGTGTTACACTAGAAGGAAGGGAGACCAGCTGATAGGCCTGGTGGTGTCTAGGGAGGGAGACCAGCTGATAGGCCTGGTGGTGTCTAGGGAGGGAGACCAGCTGATAGGCCTGGTGGTGTCTAGGGAGGGAGACCAGCTGATAGGCCTGGTGGTGTCTAGGAAGGGAGACCAGCTGATAGGCCTGGTGGTGTCTAGGGAGCCCTTTCCTGATTAGCTGCACCTGGTAAGTCCTCAAGAGCAGGTGTGAAGACTTCCAGTTCCAAAAATACCATCTAATCTGGTTTTTGTGCCTAAGGCTGTGTTGCTCACTGAGAAGCCCAAAATGCTTTGAGACATTTTCCCTATCTCACCTACAGCTTTTGGAAGGCCTAAATCTTAAGGGTCAACCACACCAGGTACCCAACCTTCCAAGCTAGGGAATCGGCAACACCAATAGGCTTTCTATTAAATAAAAGTTCAATCTGTTGCTCTCTCAAAGAGCCATACCGTCTAACCCTAGGTTCTAGCTTCTCTTTCTTGTGGACAACAAAAATGATATGCTGAGGTGGCACAATACCCTGGGATTCAGCCAACCTCCCCTCATTTTGATTCCTTCTTGCAAGACTCTTAACTTACAAAACCACATTCCACCTAGTTCTTGGGCCTTTTCTCAATACAGAAAGTGGGTAGCCATAAAAGAAATTCCTCACCTGGGCTTCATTGAAGTCTTCAAGGATATACCCAGCTCCTGCTCGAAGCTGGCATTCTGTATACTGCTTGTTGAAAGGAGGAATTTCTAAAAACTCTGTAGAAATATACATAAAAAGAATAACCAATAATAATATAATTTTAATAATGGTTTCCTAGGTGCTACTTTAATGCCTGTTTGTAACTTCTTCCTTTTCTCTTCTGCAGCTATTAGGGCGTAGACAGGCACACAGATTTATGAATTTATTTGAGAAACTGAACAGCCTACATCTCCCATTATTCACAGTCAGCGTTCTGAGCTATCTGGAACTGCCTTGTGGAGTCTGGTTTCAAGGAGTAGGTTGTGAGAGCACCTCTCGGAAAGCACAAAGGCGGCTGCACCCCGTCTTGAACACGATGGCAGACAGCTGCAGGGAGTCCTCAAGGGACGCGGTCACTGCTTGCATACTTTCTCCTCCACGGTACCTATCTGAATGCTATTTCCTCCACATGTTCCACATCTCAGAGCACAGCTGCCCATCCATCACCAGAGCATCTCTACTCAGTCTTCGTATGAAGCTTCCAGACCATATCAATCTTAAATGTAGCTCCCTGATCACTCTTCCCAGGCCCGGTACATATGTTCCCGAGGCTGTAACTGGTGAGTAGTTAGGAATAACTAGAGTTATCACACATCTTCAGCTGTCTCATTTTATCACAATCATATTCCCTCATTTTGATTCCTTCCTGCAAGACTCTTAACTTACAAAACCACATTCCATCTAGTTCTTAGCTTGGACAGAAATCTGGAGACTACTGTCACTCACTCATTTGATTTCCACATTGTCTTCTGTACCACAGATTTGTCAGACCTCTGAAATACATTTTACCCCACCTGACACAGGGTAACAGATGCCACATAAATGTGGCATTAGAACTTATTTTAAGGTTAATGAGAGGTCCAAGAATTGGAAGCCTAGAAGCTAATTTTTCCCCAACTATCCTAGGGAACTGGGGACACCACAATCCCTTTCTTCTACTCAAAATAAAACTCATCCTCTATGTGAGTTTTCTTAAGTAGATGATAGAGCATAAATGGGAAAAGTGGCAAAGCATCAGAAACCTGGTTGGTCTATACAGTTATAGGAATGTAAACCCAGCACTGTGTTCTAATCCCAAGTCTGCCATTATTGTTGAAAAAAAAAAAAAAAAGCAATTTAACCTTGATAGGTTTTTATCATTCATTTTCTGTATGAAGAATGAAACTCGCCCTAGGCCAGCAAGCAAAGGCACCACCAAACCTGGAGACTTGATTTTGATCCCTGGGACCCCTTAAGGTAGGAGGAAAGAGAACTGACTCCTCCAAGTTATCCTGTGATTTCCATACATGCACACATACATACACACCCATGTATAACTCTATATAGATATATACGTGTGTAGTTGTATCTATGTAGTATGTAAATTAACAAAATCTGTCTCCCAGCTGCTTACCAAGACTATCTTGAGAACCACTGACTGAGAATTTTGTGAAAATCTACAGACCAGAAGTAGGATACAAGTTAATTTTACTTACTGGACCGGAACCACTGCCTCACAAGGGAACTGGAAAGACAGTGCATGGATCAAAGCCCCTGGGAACTTACCCTCCTCTTCTTCACTGCTTCCTGTAGGCCCATCTAGCAGTTTAGAGCGGCTGGCCAGCTTGTCACTGGTTGTGGCCATGGTGAGGAGAAAGGCATAGCCCAGAAATAAGGTCTTGTTGAGGGGCAAAGGCCCTCTTGGCTCTTCCAGGACAGAAGGTTCACCTGTGTTGTCTGCACTCTCACAGGGGCTCACAAATTCTCCTGCCCCCACTGTACCTAGGAAGGATAAAGCACAGTTACTAAAATGATGCGCACAGACCACTGCCTGGACAAAGGCCCAGCACCAAGGATGACTTGATAGGCCAAGTCCTGATGAGCTTCTCTAAGTTATGACCCAAAGACCATTATACAGCCAGTCATTCTAAATAGCCAACAACCTAGGACCAGATTTACAATGAAGACAAACTGACATTTAAATCTAACATGACCATTACAGTGGGCAGTCTGCTGTTTTCACATATGGAAATCAACTGGTACTATTTCTCTAACATCAAATACTTCTAAGGCCACCTGAAATCAGAGGTGGTTCCAGAACAACGAAGTATAGTAATCAGAAGAAGTCTTCCCCCCACTTCACCCAGGTCTCTGACTTCCCCAGATTAGGTGACGTTTGAAGTAACCTTTAAAGGACAAACAGAACCAAACAAAACTTCATTGCTGTCAAGAACTGTCCCACTGTATCTTGAACTGTCACCAGAACAGTGCAGTGAGTACTGAGTGACAAAGTGTCTTTACATGGAGGTGAATCCACAGCAAAATACCCTTCCCCAACACCTGGGAAGGGAAGTGAGCCACCGTTCCAGAACACCCATGCTAAGACGTGCCCCAGGAAGTCCTCCAGACGGAAATGGATACCTACTGAAGAAGCCGAATCGAGTTCATTAGGAGGCTAAGATGACAGCAGGTCATGCATGCCTCCCTGAAATAAAACCAACATCAAGAACAGTCTCAGAGGCAGGGGTGCTATGGGTATGACACTGGACTCGGGGTCAAGCCTGCCCAAGTTTGAGATCTGGCTTATTCTGTCACATTGAAAAAGTTACCTAACTTTTCTTAGATTCCTCAAAAATACGGACAATTAATTCTAGCACATATGCTTTAAGGAATTATATATGAGGGAATATGAATAAAACACTTGGGCCCCATGCCTCACCCAGTAAATATTTAATAAAGGTTAGGTATTCCTGGTTTTAAATACCCTGAAATACATAGCAGTGGTATTGGGTAGGTAAGCAAATAACTCATGGTGCCAGGGCAAGGGAACGTGGAATGCCATCAATGTGCTAGCTAAGAGAGCCCTACCCAACAGTGACAGGACTTTACATAGCCAGGTCTAGGTCACGGCAGACAAACAAATGGCTGAATTTTCTTCATACTGAATAGGAGTGACTGGAAAGGGGTGGGCAGGGGAGAGTGGAGATTCAGGCTGCAGCACAACCTTTCAACAGGTAATTGAGAAAGCCTGAGCACGAGATAGTGGAAACAGTCCCAAGAAGCAGATGGTACAGGCAGAGGACAAGAGGAATTTCACCCATTCTGAGTCTGATTAAACTGCCATACTTGCCCTCCTGTCTACACTGCTGGGCTCTGAACAGGGGACAAGGACCTAACTTCTACAAGTATCACCTGTAGGCTTGTAGATGCCAGTCTGCCCACCACAGAAAGAACATCCATGTACAGGAATCCCATCTTACCAGGTTTCACGGTGGCAGACTTGCGGCCTCGCTTAGCAGGGGACCGTTCCTCTTCAGAAGTGATGAGTTTCCTTTTGCCTGATGGAACTCCCGTGGAAGCACGGGGACTCTCTGTGGTTTTACGGGTGGGTGTTGTGCTGCTGCTGCTGGAGGCAGTGGGGGTGGCTGGGGAGCTGATGTTACTGCGCCGCTTCCGCTTTCCTTCCACCAGATTATCTGATGATAAGCCAAAGGTTGGTAAGAGCCCATGGTCTCGACCCAATTCTAACATAGATAGCACTGTGCTTTTTGCCACCTCCCATAATCAGGAATCCTCTTTTTAAAGCCATACATTTTATGTTCCGGTCAATGCCATGAGTGAGGTATGTTTGCTCCCCTATAGAACTAGGAAGACCAGAAAAACCCTAGAGACTTCTCATTTGGTACTTGGAAGGAAACGAGTATAGCAGTAGTTCTAGAAAATGACAACCATCATCATCCAATAAACCACAAGACAAGTCAAGCAACCATTCCTGACTGCTCTAGAAACTAGCCTCCCTTTTCTAAACAAAGTACAGACCCACAGACAGTTGTCCAGGAAGGTCTTACCTAAGCTGATATCTGCTGCCTTTGTGAGGGGTGTGACAGCTTCATATGGGCCAAGCCCATATTGCTCTCTTAGTCTGTTTCCTTGCTCCAAGGATAAGATGACTGCCATTCGCTTGTACCACTTCCTCTGGCCTTCTTTTTCAATGCTGTAGTACAGCTCCCCAGACTCCTTCCTATGTCCTTTCACCACTCCTGGGGATGACATCATAAAAGATACCATAGTTGTAGGCTGCTTAGCACCCTCTCAAGAAGGTTCTACAAAAGCAGGCCTGAGGCAGAGAACGCACAGAGCAGCAACAGTGGACTGAACCAGGCCTTTACGGAGTCCTAGCTGTCCATCCCAAATGGTTTACAACACCTGGGAAATACGTAGCTACTACACTGATTAGACAAGGTTTTCGGAGAGAATGCTGGACTTGGGGATTGTTAGTAGCTCAAATGGAACCCCTGAAGTGAATGGTATGGTTTCTTAACAATCTTGGAGCAACTTCCCAAGTCTTCCCGTTGTGGTTTCTTTGAAGAATGAGCTGTAATCCTAAATTACAGGTGACAATGACAGTTCTGAGAGAACATCTGTACATGATTGTCTGTTGTGCGACAGAGCCAGGATGGAGAGAGCAAAGAGGAGAAAAGAAACCCTGCTCCTTCCGTCTGTCCTCCCTGCTCCTGCACCGATGCACAACTGTGGAAGGCCTTTAGGTGAGGAGCTCGGTATGGGACATACAAGGAAACAGAGTTGGAACTCAACTGACCTGAGCTTAGGCCTAGTTCTGTTATGTGACGATTAGGAAAGATCTATTTCCAATTCTATGGGAAAACAACAACAAACACTCCTTCCTCCCTATCAACCAATAAACAACATATATCTCACACACCACATAAAAATGACGCATCACTACTGACGCTTTTCATTCCTGTGAACAGAAAGGTGCACTTCATTCTCAATTAGCTTGTCTTAAAGGGCTAAGGAACCTAGCTTCCTAACATGGAAAAAGAGGGAGGAGGAAGCAAGTCCTAGTTCTACTATGCCACAGAATCACTTCCTTTCCTAAGTTAAATCTACCACCAAACTAAATCAGAAAGACCATCTCAAACTTAACAAAAGTCCAAGGCCAAAAAGACTCAGCACTAAGGAAGAGCTATTACAACTAGAAGCAATGCGGTATGACTTTGGTAGACAGCCTCAGCAAGCAGAATGCTGCATCCCTGTCCTTTAATCTACATTTACTACTGATATAAACTACCTGCAAAGGGCCAAATGTGAACCTCTAAGAAGGCTTTATACTCAAAAGAAAACCAGATGCAATTATACATACAAACCATGAGCTACCAGTCCATGTACTAACTGCCACACAGTCGATGGTGTTACCTAGTGTTCTAAGGAAAAGTGGCTCCCTCCACAAATACCGAAACAAGGGGCAAACAGAATCCCTGAACAAGACAGCCTAGAAGATCCGAACAGAAAAGCATGGTTTCTCGTTCTATCCCAACTCATGTTCAACACAATATTCAGAAAGGATATTTCTAAATAAGTCAACACAATAGATATCCTTAAAATTAGCTAAGAAGGGACTATATTCTCAGGGTTAGTGTATGAAATAGTAAAGTAAAAATCCCTCACCAGTACCAACACTGGCTACTACAAAAAGAAAGGCAGTGACATAGACCATCTTGAAAAACAAAAAAGGTTCTTCAAACCAGTCAGTAACACACATGCAGCGTGCTGAGCTAACAATTCTTCCTGTTAAACCATCTCCGTGTCAATACAGGCAGTGAGTGTAAAAGGCGGGAGTGAAAGAAGACAGAATACAGACAGAGAGGGGGAAACACTAATGATGAAGTGGAGAGACCTGGGAAACACCACCTTATCTAGTGACAAGGATTCACTTCACCAGCAACGTAATGTGATGTCATACCTCCCTCAGCCCCAAAGATGATAGGAAGGGCATTTCACCTCTATGACATTCTTTACAGGAAAGTAAAAACAAAACCATAACTCCAGTCTAATAAGAAAACATCAGACCTGATGTGAGAGACACTCTATAAAATACCTATTATTCCTCAAAACTGTCAAGGTCACGGAAAAACAAAAGACAGAAATTGCCACAAACCAGACGAGACCAAACGAAACATGATGACTAAATGTAATGTAGTATCCTCGACTGGATCCTGAAACAGAAAAAGGACATTATAGAAAAGATGGCAAAATCCAAAGAAAGTTGGGAGTTAACAGTAAGGGAATCAAGATTGGCTTCTCAGTTCTGACAAACATATCAGACTAATTTTGAATATTACAGATAGGGAGCACTGGGTGAGAAGGACACAGGAATGCTCCATCCTAACACCATTCTGTACTTCGCAAATTTTCTTTTAATTCTATAATTATTCCAAAATACGTTTACTGAAAACCAAGCTACAAACAAAAAAGTCAATGGCAAAGGAGTGGAATCTCCGACTTGAGAGATCCAGAAAAACAGTAAGGCTGGGGAGGAATGTCTTGGTAACTGCTGACAGGATGGACCGATAGGCACAGTACATCGGCAGGGACTCTGCCTGTTTTATTACCTGCACTGAAATACTCATCTTCTGAGAGGGCTGTCACTTCAGTGTCCAAGGGTATGGGGTCACACAGGAGAATGTCTTTGCCCAACACATCACATTCATACCCATCATCAAAGAGCAGCTTATACTTCCCAGCTCCAACATCTCGTGTGATTTTCCCAGAGTAAAAATAGCCATTGGATGACCACTTGGCCACAACACGGAGCCCCACAAAGCTGTTTCCTGGAGATGAGGCATCCAAGCCATCAGAAGAACCAGTAGCAGCCTGAAAAGGAATCTCTGGAGAATCACTCCGCCGCAAAGCATTAGAACCAGCATCCATTCGTTTGGTAGAGTCTGGCACACGGGGCACAATTCGAGTGAAGGACTTGTCATCTGGTGACATACTAGGTGAAATGTCTTCTATGCCCAATGGACCAGACACAACTGCATCTCTAAAGACAGATAAGAGAAGGAAGTGAGGTAAGAAAGGACCTATCTACCAAACCCACTCTTTTACCTATAGGTCTCTTCAACCCATTCTTTATTAATCCCATCACAGACATGAGCCCAATCACAGTGACCTCACTCAGTCAGTATGGGCCCTTCTTCTCCCTCTGGTACCCCACGTACTCTCTATTCTCCTCTTCTCTCTACTCCCCCTTATTTTCAACACTACCCAGGTACCTGGTTCCAGTGGTCCGAGAAGGTGGGCGGCCCCTTCGACCACGCCCACGAGGCGTGACTGGAGCCTTCCCTCCCTGTCTGATGCCAAGGCCTGCATCACCATCTTCCTCACACACTGGTGCCCCTGTCTGACTGATCCCTTTTCTAGGACTAGAGAATGAACACAGGTTAGTTTGACAGCAGCTGCTAGTGAATGCATCCTTTAACATCCCACAGGACCTTCCAACTAGATGCCAGGCAACTCGTGCTACTCCTCCAGGGCAAAAGGAAGCTGGCTCACACCCATCAACACTGATCAACAAATCCTCAGCCAGGGAGCAAGGGGAAATGGGATAAAAGGACCTCTTCCTGCATGAAAGTCTATTCCCTCCTGACATAGCTTCCTGCTTGCTGCTATTTATGATGCCACACCCATTTCTGCCCTGCCTTCACTACTTCACGCTCTGGATACCCATAGAGCAGAACCAAAACCAAGGAGATAACAGCATAATGGGGCCCATTCCAAACCCCCAAATGCCCAACCAAAAAATGGATAAGCTGCAGAACATAGGAATGGCAGGAACATGTATCCAGCATTCCCAATGTCCCCTAAGGGGCTTCTTTGCCCACCAGGTTCCTCCCCTAGAAGCCCCAAACAGGGAGGAAGAGGATTTATCCTGGCTTGAGGTGGGCCATTCCCCATTTCTTCTCCTGTGATATTAAAATGTTAGTAACCCTGCCCCTGCAGGGTCTCTCTGGAGACCATGTATGCACCTCAGTTTTCCTGGCCCTCCTCGGGAACTGGGTAAGGCAAAATCTGCAGCTTCTGTTCCGCTGGTTTTCCCTTTGAGTGGCCCGGCTCCTCGCCCTGAGCTGCCACTGCTGTGCATGGCTGAGAGACTTGTCCCACTTGACGTGTGGTGTGAGCTGGATGCTTTGGAGGAGAAGGAGCTGATGTCCCCCAGGTCTCCAGAGGAGCCTCCAGTCTGGGAAGGAGAAACCTCTGTTTCACATTCCTGACACTCTACAATTGGTTCCTCCGTCTCCTGCAGGGAAGAAACAGACAGGAAAGCTAGAAGAAACCGTACTAACAGAAAGCTAAGTGGGAAATCCTAAAGACCGCAGGACACTTCACCTCAGCCAGGTGGGAGTCAGGAGGGAACTTTCTGAAGCAGTGGAAATAGTCTGTTTTGAGCCAGGGTTACATAAAAATTTTCAAAGCATAGCTGGGTATGATGGCACACACCTTTAATCCTAGTACTTGGAAGCAGAGGCAGGTGGACTCTGAGTTTGAGACCAGCTGGTCTATGTATCAAATTTCAGGCCAGCCAGGAGACCCTGTCTCAAAATTAAGTAAGTAAGCAAGTAAATTAAATAAATAAATAAAAACTTGTCCAAAGCTAGTGAACCAAACATTTAACATCTGTTACATGTAGCAAAAAATTAAGAGGAGAGAGACCTTTATATGGCGTATGAAGGTAAGTTGTCTTTTTATTGAGCAAGTGCACAAGTTTTGAATGCTAGCAAGGAGTTTAACCTAGAAGACAGGAGCCATTCCCTGTCAGAGAGAAGAGAGCGAAGGAGGATGGTGAAAAGGAGGAGTGGTCAGAAGTCATTCTAGAGACATCATTAACACTATCAATACTTTGATACCTGGAGCTGGTAGTCAGTCTCAGGAGAAAGAAGTGGCCAAAAAGTGGCTAGCTTGAGGAATGTAATCTGTTTTCAGCAAGGCAGAGGGAATGGGGGAGAAGGGCAAGGCCTGCCAGAGCCATGTTTGCCATGCTTGGGCTGGCTGGAGTCCCTTCCGGTTGTAACCTCAGGGCTTTACCACAAAGCTACATCCTCAACTCTAATAATGTTTTTCGTCTTCATTTTTCCAAACACCAATACCAGTTTTAGTCTATTTTTGCAAATAATTTTCTGTTTTCTTGGTCACTGTTTTTTTTTGGTTTTTCAAGACAGGGTTTCTCTATGTAGCCCTGGATATCCTGGAACTCACTCTGTAGACCAGGTTAGCCTTGAACTCACAGAGATCCTTCTGCTTCTGCCTTCCAAGTGCTGGGATTAAAGGCATCACCTTTAATCCCATCACCACCGCCTGGCTCCTTGGTCACTTATTAAAGGTATTATAAAAGAAGTAGTGTTAATTCTCCCTTCTGGAAGATTTCTCCTTTAAGGATCCATGGTTGGGGGGAGGGCAAGGATAGATAGCAAGATGGCTCATCAGATGCCTGATGACTCATGTCTGATAACCCATAACCACATGACGCAAGGAGAAAGCTGATAAAGTTGTCCTCTGACCTCCACGCATGGGCCACTGTACATACCCACACAAATATACACACTAAATAAATGTTGGGGTACAGTGCAGTTGATAGAGTGCTCCCCTCACACATATGTGGCCCTGGGTTTGTCACTAACACAAACTAAGATGGAGACAAACCTTCTCTAAAGAAACAAACCAGCTGGGCTGTGGTGGCGCATGCCTTTAATCCCAGCACTTGAAGCCAGCCTGGTCTACATAACGAGTTCCAGGACAGCCAGGGTCATGTAGAAAAGACTCTGTCTCCAAAAGCGAAAGTAAAAATAAAGATAAGAAAGAACTGAAGGAAAACAATGTCCGTGCCTAGTGGCACAGGAAAGGGGGGAAGTCGAGAAATGAAAGAGGGGAAGGAAGTGAAGAGGGAGGGAGAAGGGAAAGGAGTGGAAGGAGGGAAGGGAAGTGGGGAGGGAGGGAGGAAGAGGGGAAGGAAGTGGGTGGCCCCAGGTGTTACCTCAGTTACTTTCCTTTCCACTTCTGTCCCGTCCACGTAGTAAACGTCTGTGATGACACGGGTAACGAGTGTACGGACTTCACGGATCGTTCTCATGTGACGATGCAGGACATGGCCGTGTGGAGGCTGGGGCATTTCAAATTCTTCTTCTCCCTACAGCAAAAGACACAGACCACATAAGAACAGAACCAACAGCGGAATGCAGCCATGGCTCTCCCGGTTAACTGTCAGAGGAACTGTTCAGAGGACTCAGAGTCCGGCGTGATAAATATTCCATTTATTTACAGGTAAGGCTGAGGAGGAGGCTGGAAAAGTCTGTCTGCCCGACTTGACCTATAATCATGAAGCTCAATCATAGTATCTAACACATTAGTTTTAGATTGTAATCATTCGAATTTTTTCTTTTGTTTGTTTCTTTGTATAGCTCAGACAGATCTTCAACTCACTATGTACTCCAAGCTGCTCTCTCCAACTCGTGGTCCTCCTGCCTCAGCCTCTGATAAGTGTGTACCACCACACCCAGCTAATCCTTCTAGTTCTCATGACAACAGGGTGTCACCAAAAAAGCAGGTACTCTTTGATCCTTAGAGAAGACCCGAATCCACACCTATTAACCAATCAGTGAAAACCAGTTCATCAACAACAACAAAAATGGTATTGCTTTCTCGAGAGGTTAAACAGGAAGATCTTAATCTGCTCCAAGAATAGATTTGGGGACTTTGTTACTTTGTTTAGACACAGGGTTTCCCTATGTAGACAGGCTGGCCTCAAATCAGAGATCCACTTGCCTCTGCCTACTCACCAATGTACTGCCCAGTGTTATGTCAGCTTAATACGAGCTAGAGTCATCTGGCAGGAAGGAGCCTCAATGGAGGAAATGCCTCCATACATCAGATCTGGCTGTAGGGCATTTTCTTACTTAGTGATTGATGGGGGAGGGGCCCGGCCCATTGTGGGTGGTAACATCCCTGCGCTGGTTGGTCCTGGTTCTATAAGAAAGCAGGCTGAGCAAGCCATGAGGAACAAGCCAGTAAGCAGCACTCCTCCATGGCCTCTGCATCGGGTCCTGCCTCCAGGTTCCTGCCCAGTTTGAGCTCCCGCCTTGGCTGCCCTAAATGGACCATGACTCAGGATATGTAGGTCAAATAAATCCTTTGTCCCCAAGTTGCTTTTGGTCATGGTGTTTTGTCACAACAACAGGAATCCCATTTAAGTCACAATGAATAGATTTTTAACTGAAGGGTTAAATTAGAAAGCTGGGCATGGTGGTGTACAGCTATAATCCCAGCATTTGGACTTGGGAGGCAGGAGATCAGAAGTTCAAGGCCATTCTCAACTACATAGCAAGTTTGAGGCCAGCCCCTAAGCTACCTGAAACACTGTTGAAAAAGAAAGGTACAATAGTATCCAAAATAACAAATGAAGATTTGATATCTAGAACTGGAGAGGTAGCTCAGTGGTTAAGAGCCCTTGCTGCTCTTGCAGAGGGCCCTGGAGTTCCAGTCCCAGCACCCACATGGCAGATTCCAACTGTCTATAACCCCAGTGCCAGGGGATCTAGCAACCTCTTCTGGCCTCCATGGGCACCAGGAATGTACTCTACTCTGTGTACTTACATATACGCAGACAAAACATTCAGACACATAAAATAAAAATAAAAAAAATGCTTTTAAAAGAAACTTTGTATCTAGTTTACCATAAAAATAGTTTGAACAAAACCCTGTATTTTGTGACAATTGTTCATAATATTATTTCAAGAAAAATAAGCTTCTTTTTCAAAAAACACTAAGCAAATATTTGGTGAGCAGCTTATGGGTACCATGTATTATATTATACAAATACCTACTGGAAAGATCAGGACACATGTAGTTCATTCAGGATGACAGATTCAAATGCATTATTACAGATTAATATAAATCTAAGAATTCTTAGACCACTATTCAAACAACCAGATAACATATGAGAATCAGGTTGTTTCATGATCATAATTTCTTCTGTTGTGTACATGTCTGTCTGTGTATGTGTGTGTGCACACATGTATCTATGGTTGTTCATGAAACCATGAGGTCAACGTGTCTACAATTACTCTCTCCCTTGAACCTAGAATTTGCCAACTCGACTAGAAGACTGCCCATCAAGCCCCAGGAGTCATCCTGTCTTTGCCTCCCCAGTGCTAGGATCACAGGGTGCACACTGCTCCATTGGGCTTCTTTACATGTGTTCTGGGGGTGGAACCCCAGCCCTCCTCATGTTTCAACAGTGAGCACTTTACCAATGGAGCTATCTCCCCAACCCTCAAGTTAATCATTTCCATCTCCAGACGGGCTCCAAAATCATGCTTTAGTAGGATGTGGATGAGTTTTATAAAACAGACTGTTTGCACATGAGATCTTTTTTTTTTTTTTTTTTTTTTTTTGGTTTTTCGAGACAGGGTTTCTCTGTGTAGCTTTGCGCCTTTCCTGGAACTCACTTGGCAGTCCAGGCTGGCCTCGAACTCACAGAGATCCGCCTGCCTCTGCCTCCCGAGTGCTGGGATTAAAGGCGTGCGCCACCACCGCCCGGCGCACATGAGATCTTAAAGCCCTGCTTGTCACTACATCAAATCGTTAACTTCTCAGAGCCTCCTGTGTTTACTACCTAGGGCCTGCTGGTGGCTGAAACCTGCCAGCATTCCGTCTGTTTTCTCCTGACACTGACTCCACCCCCACCCGACTAGCTCTGCAATGCTAAGGAAGAAATGCACTGTCTCACACCTCACCTTCCGCGTGGTAAGGCGATTGTACTTTCACCATCAGTATCAAGTCTTTCCAAACGATATTTACCACCACAATAAAGGGAATTCTTTGTTTTTCTTGGTAAAGTGTAGTAATTTACCTAAAGCTTTCAATAATATAACTGAATAATCATAGTCCAACTTTACCTATTGTGGGAGCCCGTTTTCAGGTTCTTCGTGGCTTTACCCAGCAGGTCCACATAGAGAGGATGATTAGGACCACGGGCCTGAGTGCAGGTGTCTGAGATGGTCTGCACTTGGCTGTGCTGGGGAGGGGGTCTTTCGCTCCACCCCTTGGCGTCTCTATACCCTGAGGCAGAGACAGGGCCCGTTGGAATAGGTTCCAGGCCCTCTCGAGGCTATCCTTTATTTTCTATCTGTTTATCTCCGAGATATTCTCCGCAATAGATCCTTCTATCTAATATTTCCTGCTGCTCACACTCAAGAAAACTCTGGGGAGCTGTGGGGGTGGTGGGTAAACCTATGGAGTAAAATTTCTGCTAAAATGGAGCTGTAAATAAAATTTTAAAACATGGATCCTAAACCAATTCTTTAAACTATTTCTACATATGCAACTGTATTTAATGAGGTTGGAGCACGGCTGCTGCATGTCAACAATTGGCACACATGCACCGGGCACACATGCACCAGGACCATGACAGCCTCAAGTACACTGTGCAGTCTGACTGGTCCATCCTGCATCCTAGGATCTGAACGGTTCCTACCGATACAAATAAACACTTCGAGGGACAGACTTAACCCTATCTAATAAAATCAAACAGGAGTCAGGAGGAGGGCAGATAACCCATGCTAACTTCTCAAAAAGGTCTCTAACGTTAAATGACTTGAAGACTATATCAATAATGGGTGGAGAAAAAAGTCATTTTCCTGTCCCAGAAAACCTAGCTCCTATACAGTTCCCATACACAGATTTAGGGAGCATCAGAGTGGTAGTCTGTGCTTTCTCCTGGCACTGGCCCAAGTCCTAGCTACTTCAGAGAGATTTTTTTTAAAAAGTTCTGACACTCAGAAAATCTCCATCTCGCCTTTAACAGTCATTCACAGTTCCAAGTTCTCCACGCTCCACTTTCCAAAACTTTCCCCTAATTAAGACTCTTTACCCAGCACTCGGGAGGCAGAGGCAGGCGGATCTCTGTGAGTTCGAGGCCAGCCTGGTCTACAGAGTGAGTTCCAGGAAAGGCGCAAAGCTACACAGAGAGACCCTGTCTCGAAAAAACCAAAAAGACTCTTTACCCATCCACCAACTGCATTTTCCTAGCACCTTTTTAAAGAGATTTATTTTACTTATGTGCATATGTCTATGTTGAGCATACACCATGTGCGTGAGGGTGCCCCTCAGAGGCTACCTGAAGTTACAGTGGTGAGCAGCCAGCATAAGTGCTGAGAACCGAACTCAGGTCCTCTGGATGAGCAACAAGTGGCTCTTAACCACTGAGCCATCTCTCTGGCCCCTAACACCGTTCTTATCAAGAGAAACTACCTCTTAAAACACATTCTTTCATTCTGTGTGATATTGTAGTAATACCTATCAAAAGTAGGTGCTAAAATAACACCCAGAACAATCAAAAGGTAGGAGCTAGAGAGATGGCTCAGTGGTTAAGAGCACACACTACTCTTGTGGAGAACTGGAGTTCAGTTCCCAACACCCACACTGGGTGACTCAGAAATGGCGTGAGTCTAGTCCTCATGGATACAACACCCTCTTCTGGACTCCTCTGTCACTTGCACTAATGTGCACATTCACACACACACACACAGAGAAATTTTAAAATAAAATAAATCTTAAATTGGGACGGGTTGGTGCTGGAGAGATATCTTATTAATTAGTTCTCTTACAGAGAACCTGACTCCCAGCACCCACACAACAGCTCACAACTGTCTGTAACTCCTGTTCCAGAGGATCTGACAGTCCTTATGGGAACTGCACTCACATGGCATACAACACAGCAACACACACATACACAAAGTAAAACTAATGAATCTTTAAAGGAAAATCAATAGGAAACAGGACCCACCAATGTCTTCAGACATGCCAGATGCAGCAGTAAGTGATTTTCTCCCTAAACCCTCAAAGCATCTCCATGTAGCAGTTAAACCTGGTCCTTAATGACTCACTGCCTATCACCATCATCATGAGATACAGGGTACACCTGTTTACAGAACATAACGACCTCTGGGAAAATTCTACAATACCTGTGACTCCTTCAACAGCAGCAATCCTAGACAGCATGCCTTATCCCTACTCAATTCCTCTGTCAATCTTTTTAATTTAAAAAAATTATTAGCTGGGCATGGTAGTACATACCTTTAATTCCAGCATTGGGAGGTAGAGACTGGAGGAACTTGTTCAGTTCAAGGCAAACCTGGTCTACAGTGTTCTAGGATAGCCAAGGCTATACAGTGAGACTGATCCTACCTCAAAAACAACAAACAAGATATTAAAAAAATCAACAAAAATAAAAAGAAATGTCACTGGAGCTGGAGAGATAGCTTAGTAAAGTGTCTGCCACACAAGCATTAAGACTTGAATTGAGTTCAGATTGCCAGAACCAAAGCTGAGGACAGCAGCACACATCTGTAATTCCCAGCACCAGTGAGATGGAAAGAGACACAGGACTTCCGACTCAGAGGTCGGCTAGCTTGGCCTACGTGGGAAGTTTCCAACCACTGATACACCCTGTCTCAAACACACAGACCGAAGACACCTGAGGACCAACACCTGACGCTGTCTCCTGATTTTCACACATAGCCTTTGAACGTTCGCATGCACCTCCACGTGCACACACGCAAACAAACAAAGAAACCCGTAAGATTGCTAGTGGAAGGACTAAATGAGCCCCGCAGAGAATGAGGAGTCTGTGCTGGGCCCCTAAGGCCCCCAACTGTGCCCACCTGGCTGTGGAGAGACTCGGTGTCATCCACAGGAGCACTGGCCTGTTTCTCAGCACTTCCCCTCTCAGTCTGCACAGTGGCATCCTGTTTCCCAGAGTTCTGGTCCACTGTACTGGTCCCCTGCTCACAGACACTCTTCACAGTCTGGGTTGCTGCTGAAACAGTTTCTGGGGCACACAGGGAATGGTCCATGGTCTGGATTCCTATGTTACTCTGGGTGGGCCTTTCCATCAAGACCTTACACGGTTTTTCCTGGTTAGCACTCAGCCCTTCTAGCAGGTCTGTTTCCATCACTTCTACGTGAGGGCTGAATAGCCCCTGTGTGGCTTTCTGCTGGGAAACAGAGGCAGAGTCCTCCGAAGCAGCGGCATCCTTGACAGGCCCAGTGGGCCTCACAGGCTGCTCATTCTGCCTGAGCTCTGGAGTACCATCCGGTTTTTCTTTGTCATCTTCTTGAACACTTGGAAAATGGAGCAAGTTTGCCCTGAAAGTGAAACATAAAGACATCACGTATTCTGGTTTGAATGCAGGTTATTCCTCTGAGTCAGTGTGGTGGCACACATCTATAATTCCAGCACCCAGGGAGCTGAGGAGCACAGAACAACCAGGGCTATAATCAATAGTCTCAAACATAAAACAGTAAAAAGAAAGTAATTCCCATTGTGGGAATCCACCAGCCTGGTCTACATCATGACTTCCAAGACAGCCAGGGATACATAATGAGACTCTGTCTCAAAGAAAAAGATCCATTAGTCATGAAGTCTCATTTGGTTTTATGAATGGTTCTAACATTCTTTACTGACTCCTACCACTACGCATGAGGTCTGCTCTCTTCTGAACAGTAATTTAGGAGAAGAAATAAAATCTTCAAAGAGGAAAAGTTGTAGGTAAGAGTCTGGTCTTTCCGGGTCAAAGGCCACTTGGTGATCACAGCAGGTGTCCAGTGCTTCAGTGCAGGGCTCCCTGGGCAGAGTTCCACCCAACCACTTCAGAGAACTGCAGAGGAGGGCCTAAGATACGGGCCAGCTCTTCAGTAGTCTCTCCATTTGGGAGCCCGTGTGTCTTAATTAGGTTTCTATTGCGGTGACAAAGACCAGGACCGAAGCAACTTGCCGAGGAAAGGGTTAACTGGCCTACACGTTACAGTCCATCATCACAGGAAGCCAGCGCAGGAACTCACAGCAGAAACTGGAGACAGGAACCAAAGCCAGGCCCAAAGAAGGAGTGCTGCTTATACGGCTTGCTCCCCATGACTGGCCCAGCCTGGTTTCTTGTAGAACCCAAGACCACCCATTTAGGAGTGGCACCACCCACAGCGAGTGGCCCTTCCACATAACTCACTAATCAAGAAAACGCTGCCACAGACATGCCTACAGGCTAGCGAACGGAGGCAATTCCTCATTTGAGATTCCCTCTTCACAGATATGTCTAGGTTTATGTAAACTGACAAAAAAACCAAACAGCACATAGTGACTGATTTATTTATCCTTTAAACATTACCTGAATGTTGCCTATAAGCCAAATACCATAGTTTCCAAAGTAACTAGAGATTTTAAATGTTAATAGTTCTCTAGAATAAGAAACCCAGGCTAAAGCCAGTGGTGGCGCACACCTTTAATCTCAGCACTCAGGAGGCAGAGGCAGGCGGATCTCTGAGTTCAAGGTCAGCCTGATCTACAGAGTGAGTTCCAGACAGCCAGG